CACGTGCAGCAGCACGCGCCAGGGCCTGACAAGACACAGCATCAGCCGAGCCACGAGCCGCAGGGCGACGAGCACGATGTGGCGATCGTACGGAGCGAGAAGCGGAGGAAGACCACGATCGGAGACGATGGACCTCGACGCCAGCGCAGCACAGTCACCCAACAAATACGGAGGTGGCAAGGGGAAGACAGGCAATGGCAAGTCGAATGGATCCGCCAACGAGGTGAACAAGGACGACGAGATGGTGACGATCGAGAAGCTGTGCCTCAACAACGCACAAATCGTGCGACAACTCTCGGGCAGCTTGTGGGACTTCTACCTGGTCGAGGGAGAGCACACGCCGTCGGAGGCAGGAGCCAACGAGGGCCAAGAGTACGCCAACAAGGTACAGAACGGAGCGAAGAATCTGGGCTCGCCGCACGTGTACATCGGAGCGACGTTCTTCGAGGAGCTGGCCAGCCTGACTACTACGCCGTCACCGTACAAAGAGACCCTCGAGCAGTTCGCCATGCTGATCAACGTCATCCACGTGGACTTCTTCGGGGACATACTGCCGTACTTCAAGGTCAAGAAGGCATACAGCGAGGCAGGGATGGGCACGAGATGGAAGATACACATTCTCTTCAACGCGCTGGCGATGAGCCCGTGGACAGAGGAGAACGAAACCAAGATCAACCTGAAGCGCGAAGCACAGGGACAGATGCCGATCAAGCTGGAGCATGCCCAGACCTACCACCTCCGCCAAGCGACCCACGTGGCCATCACGAACAGCGGGGGCAATGCCATAGTGGGGGCGCCGCCGCCGAGTGCACTGGAGCGCCGCCTCCAGAACTACCTGCGCGAGAGGCTCGCACACGTGTGAGGCAGACAGTAGGTCGATCAGCAGCCAGCAAGCAGGCAGCAACCAACGAGGCAAGCAAACAGCAAGTAAAAATTCACGAGCTTAGGCAATTAGCAGCCAAAGGCAGCGTGAGGGCAGCAGAGCTGCTTTCGAGACTCGGCAAACGCAAATGAACGGTCTGTGGGGGGAGTGGGGGGACTTGTCTGGAGGGTCTTTGCGCAGCCGAGATCTCGTTCAGTAGCCTGAACAATAGCGAGCAGTCTCACGCGTATAGGCCTCGGGGCCTTGCGGACTATGAGAAGTGCTGAACACATAGGCTTACGCCAAATCGTGCCAGCAGCCCTCCTGGAGGCATTGCGAAGTGTCATCCTCTCTTTTGTAGGGCCTCCTCTCCTCAGGACAGTGCTGCCCAGCAGCTCACCTCGGACGTCCTCCGAGGCTGCAGGAGCTCTGTGTAGAGATGAATGTGCCCAGCCGAATGGGCAGGGATCGGCTTTGGAGCGGGGAGTAGGGGAGTGGGGGTAGGGGGGGTGGGTGTGGTTCCTTCATAATGCAGCGACGAGTAGAAACGGCCGGCTTCGACACAAGCAAATAGCGTTTCTTCCGACCCAAGTGCGGTGGGGATGGGCCACAGTGTCATAAACCACCGCCCTGGACTGAGTGTTTTTGAGCATGGACACAGGGGGTTCGGCCCTGAGCCGAAGTGGGCCCAAGGCCTCGTCGGTCAAGAGGGTCCCACAGGCTCCCTCGAGTGTCCGCCTTTAAACCTGCCAGCAGTAACCCGACTCGCTCAAAGCGAGTTACACGCGAATCGAGTTTTCCGACCCGAACCGCACCGCTGCCGAGGCTCTCGACTCGACTCGACTCGACTCCTCCTCCTCCTCCTCCATTCCTCCTCCTCCTCCTCCTCCTCCTCCTCCTGCATTCCTTCTCCTCCTCCTCCTCCTCCTCCTCCTCCTCCTCCTTCTCCATTCCTCCTCCTCCTCCTCCTCCTCCTGCATTCCTCCTCCTCCCTCCTCCCTCCTCCCTCCTCCCTCCTCCCTCCTCCTCCTCCACCTAGCTCCTCCTAGCTCCTCCTGCTGTGCTCATTGGGCGGCTGCGAGCTGCGCATCTGTCGCCACTCGTAGGCTCCTGGAAGGCACGGCGGAGGGGGTCCATTTGAGATTTCGCGGCTCCCTCGGGTGTTGCGGACTGCGTTACGGTATATCCTTTACAAGCTCCGTGACCCCACAGGGAGCCTCACCGAAGGTCCCAGTGGCGCAGTCCGGATGCGTCCTCCCGCCCATTTCGGCACACACCTCATTCCGAATCATTCCCAACCATCCTGTGTGTTGGGTCCTCTCCTCCTCTCCCCCCAGCACCACCCGCCCGAGATCTGGAGCCCTGTCTCTCGATGGGGGCCTGCTGGCCCGCCGATCTCCGCCGACTCGGCGTCGCCTGCCTTGGCTGCCGACCTCCGCCGACCCGGTTCGTTCTGGGCGTCGCGCAAACGGGGGGGCGACACGTGGGGGGAGGCAGCGAGGGCTGCAGAAAGGCGGCCCTTCGGGGCCCCCCAAGGGGCCCCTTTAGGACCCCCGACATGGGGGCCCTCCAGGGCCCGAGAAGTGCACCTCTCTTCCCCCCCATTTGAGCGACGCCCGAAAACGGGGTCGTCTGCGCCGACATTCGCATGTCATTAAGCTGCCCGCGTAAGCTCGCGCATAAGCGCCCTCGTCTCCAATGTAGCGTGCCGCGCTGGCGGCCCGCGTAAGCCGCCGCGCAAGGTCGCTACGTCATGTCGCGTAAGACTCGTTTTTTGATCGTCGCTCATTTGTCGCCCCCCCATTGAGCGACGCCCCATCATTTCGATCGCCGATCCGGCTCATCGACTCGTTACTGGGCGCTCCTGTCCCTTTGTCGCGGAGTGGTGCGGGAGGAGCTGTTGCTCCGCGGTCTGCAGCGTTCGGTTGGCCCAGCGGTTGGTACCAGCACCCGTCTTTGTGGTCGCCTCCACTGGGGGACGAGGATCCCAATCTCGGTGACAGTGTTGAGTCGGGCATGTGTTTACTTATTTCTCTCATTTATCTTCCAAGACCCGCCTGTAGGAGGACATGCTCGACCTAACACTTTTGGCAGCTACCTGCAAAAGTTGTAGACTAAGACCGAACGCCCTGGGGGGTGGGCGAGGGTCCTTGTCGTGGATGTTGTATGCAAATGTCCCTCCCCGGGGCGTGGTTCTCGTATTCCGATCGTGGCCCCGTGGGGTGGAATCTGATTGGGGTGTGGGGAGCCTTTGGTACACAAAACACTAGCGGATGGCAACATTCGGGCTCTACCATGAGCATCCAGGGTCACAGGCCTCGGAACAAATTAGCGAACACTTGCCACACTCATCCGTCAACGCCTCCCCCTCCCCCCAATGTTCAAAGTTGGCGGTGGGTCTGATGAGATGCACTTCGACCGCAGTCTCCCCCGCGCGTGCCAACATTCAGTTTGGGGGGGAGGGAGAGTGTTCAGTAATTGATTCCCTCTACCGCATCTCCTCCCCCCCATGGAGGAACCCACTGTGGTGGCGGTGGCGGTGCCAATTTCCAGGCCCCCAGGGAGTTGTTTTGGGCATGCGCCTCGGCACAGGGAGGAGGAGGAGGAGCAGGAGGAGGAGGAGGAGGAGGAGGAGGAGGAGGAGGAGGAGGAGGAGGAGGAGAAGAAGGGGGAGGAGGAGGAGGAGGAGGAGGAGGAGGAGGAGGAGGAGGAGGAGTGATATTCCTCTCTGCGGAGGTGCGTGCACTCCCCGAAGGGGGGGGAACGGATCGGCCCAGCAGAGGCGCAGCTCAGAGCGTATACCCAATTTGTGGTTTCGGCCCCAGCTGACCCGGTCTGACCGGTGACGAGCGAACGAGCGAAAACGCCCAAAGTCAGGAGCGAAAGAAGGACGTACACGTACATGAATCCACGTTGTTTTCGAGAGTTCGCATTGCACGAATGTTCGTATCACGCGGCAGGTCTCGCGGGTCAGGGGGCAGCGTTCATGTACATAGTTGGGCGAGTACGTCCTTTGTGGGGTCCCTACAAAGACAGTCCTTTCACCACGTTGTTCGCTGTGTCGGCCAGAGCTGACCCAGTCTGAAGGATCATGGGCGAGTGAACGAAACTCTATGGAGAAACAACGCCCCCACCCCCACATCTAGCGCTTGCTAAACAGGCCTGCCGTGTTCGATTCCTCCGTCGGGTGCATTTGCTTAACGGCTTTGCTTGTCGGGGTGTTTTCTCTTGATGGTGGTTGTTCTGGTCGGTCGGTGCCATCGTCGTCCTCCTCGCCCCCGTCGTCACCCTCGTTGCTCCCCTCGCCGCCCCCCCTCGTCGACGTCGTCGCCGTCGCCGCCGCCGTCGCCGTCGTCGTCGCCGCCGTCGTCGTCGTTGCCTTCGTCGTCGCCGTCGTCGTCCTTGCGTCGTCGTTACCGTTGCCGTCAACATCGCCGTCGTCGTCGTCGTCGTCGCCGTCGGCGTCGCCGTCGTCTCGCGTCAGCGCGCGGAGTCCGAGAGTGGGGCAGGGAGGGCTTGTCCCAGAGGGCCTGCGTGCCGCGCCGTGTGCGGGCGGGGGGGGAGGGGGTCGATCAAACGGCTCTAGGCCTCCGAGTAGATGTAGGGTCGGAGTAGGTGGGGTCGGAGGATCGCGCCGCATCGCCGATGCATCGACGATGCGGCTCGGTGTGGAGCCCGTGTTTCTCCACGCCGACGTCAGGAAGATATTCAATCGTGGGGAGAGGGTCAATCGACGCCTTCGCCATAGAGAGATTCATCACAGCGCGAGTCGAAGGCCGGCAGAAGTCGTTCAGCCTTCAACGGCATCACCAATTATTTCATCTCATCGAGGATCAAGGAACCTCTAACCCGAAAAGCATAGTGGAAACGTGGCCATACTCAGGTCCCCGACTCTGCATCAGAGATAAGAAGTCTGGGCGGTCTGGTTTGATACATCTGCAGAGAAGACCCCTTATCCCCAATTTTCTTCGCCCTCCTACTTTAGGTCCCCTCGCAAAGGGTTAGGGATGTCTCTATTGTTAAACATCATCGAACCCCATCTTTTATCACATCATCTTTCATCGACAAAGTCGAGCTATCCTTCATCCAAAAATCCTTCATCAGGGGGCGCGCGCGCGCGCCATGGGGGGGGGCACAGGACAGCAGCGCGTGCGACTCCGCGATGTTCCCCCAGGACTGCCCACTGCCACCCGCCTTCGGGTGCTTCGGAGGTCCCCAGACTGCGGGGACCACACCATGTGGTGAGCCGGTGGTGGAGAGCCGGGGTGCTCATCACAGTTGATTTTGGCCGTTCTCCGGTTCTTTCTCGGCGGGCAGCCCGGGTCTCCAAGGTGTCAACGCGGTGCGGTGACGCACCTTGCGGGTGAGACCTTCGAAGGATCGAACTCCTCAACCTTGGCGCATTTCCATGCGTTTCTGCTTCCGCTCGCCGTTTTTGGGCCCCCGGGAGGAAGCCGAGACCTGGGGCCCGCGGGCTGAAACGAACAATTCAGATGGCTAGGGATCAAGTGTGGAAGAGCCACCCCGACCCGCATACAGTGGGAACCCATGCCAAGAGAGACCCTGCTTGCCTCCATGGTGCCCTGGGTTTCTTGGGTTTCGATGGCTTTGCTTGGAGATCATGATTTTCCCGCACCAAGAAATCCATGATCGTCTTGGGGCATCAGGGTTTGGTTTCAGGTGGAAGGTTTCTTGTGGTCGAGCTCCTATTGCAATTGTCGTTTACTGAAAAGCCTTGGGCGTTGACTCAAAAGCCCTGTCCTTTCCGATTCCTTCCTTGGATGCGTGTACTACACGGCTTCGCTTGTCGGGGTGGTTCTTACGAGGATTGTTTTCTCGCTCTCTCAGGGAGGCGTCCCTGGCTGGAGCTGCTCCCAGGGTCTCTTGGGAGGCCCCCGCGGCTTCCACAGCTGCCCTCGCGAGGCCAAAGGGAGCCCCCCATTGGGGCTCCAGCGTGACGCCCACATCGGGGCACGCCCTGGGCCTGGACCACCTCTCTTAGTCTCCGAAACGAAAGGAGCTGCTCTCACGAGGCCAAAGATGCCCCATGGGGGGCTCCATCGTGACGCCCGAATCGCGGGACGCCCTCGGCCTGGACCACCACTCTTGGCTTTCGAAACGAAAGGCACTGCCCTCAGGAGGCCAGAGAGAGAGAGCCCCAGTAGGGGGCTCCAGCGTGACGCCCAAATCGAGGGATGCCCTGGGCCTGGACCACCTCTCCTGGCCTTCGAAACGAGAGGAGGAGGAGGAGGAGGAGGAGGCGGAGGAGGAGCAGGAGGAGGAGGAGGAGGAGGAACAGGAGGAAGAGCAGCAGGAGGAGGAGGAGGAGGAGCAGGAGGAGGAGGAGGAGAGAGCGTCAAGGTGATCGTGGTCGCCCCTCTCGCAGCTGACCTCCCCGCCTCAGGACGACGAGCCCGAGGGCCCGCCCCCCTCCGAGCTCGCGGGCTTCGACATCGCCTCCCCGGACGCGGCCGGCTCGGCACAGCGCGGCTCTGCTCTGTCCCCCTAGCCGAAGGTTGCTTCGGGGGCGGTCGAGGGGGGTGATGGCTAGCCAGGGGCGGGGGCCATGATGTCTCCCCAGATTTGAGGGTGCCTCTTCTTGTTTCAGTGCGTCCCCGGCCCCCCTCCTGGGCCGCGCACGTGCCGCCGGCCATGATTTGCGCCCCTTCCCCCCCCCCTCTCGGACGCCCCCCTGTCGAACGCCCCTGGCTCTTCTCGGTTTTCCTCCGGTTAGAGTCGATGTTGATGGTTTCCGATGCCGATTCGATTGGACTGCGGGTTCCGGTCTCTCCATGGGGGCCCACAGGCCTGGGGATTTCCGCCGATTCGATGTCTCCCGACTTGGCCGCCGATTCCCGCCGATCCGATTCATGTCAATCGCCGATCCAACTTACGGATTCGAGTTCGGGCGCTCCTGCTCCTGCTCCAAATGGGGCGCCCTCCGTGGTGGAGGGAGCGACCTTGGCCCTGACATCCTCGCAAATCTGAAGCAGTTTCCGGCCTCCGGGGGCCCTCGCCGGGACCCGGGACCGTAAAAATGTGTTCAGGATAGACAGTTGGTCCGGGAAGGGGTCAAGACATGCAGGGAGCCTTGTTGTGAAAGACAACGCAATATTGGATCATGATGATTTTGAGGCGTTGTCCCACTCTGATCCCCCGCGAGTCGTGCAGCACGCGTGCCTCCCACTTACTCGTTCACGGCAAATTGAGCTCCCTTGCATGCCACCATCCGTGACAATGTGGCGCGTTGTTGTGGGCACTCGTTGCAAGGGGGTTGGGTACGTTGCCTGGGTACTTTTTCACAGCGCGAGGGTACCAGTGGGAGGGGCTACCTGAGCAGTTATGCGGCGCAGGATCTCGCGGGCGACGTGCCGAGTTCGGGTGTCAGGATGCAGTGTCTGTGAGGTAAATTCTGCATCGGCGCTGGTATATCGGTGGTCGAAAACGGGCTAATCCCGCACAGTCCCGTGCAATTTACTCCAATCTGGTTGGATCCTGGCTTAATTTGGGTTGGTCCAGCTGAGTGGCCACTTCATCGGGCTTGCTAGCCCATCGTTTCGAAGAAGCCAAAACGGTGTAAGCGTACATGTTCGGACGTCCGCGCTGATTCCTTGGGCATGCGCTGGGCCCTGCTCCTTGGCGCCAGCGCAGATCTCAGAAATCCCTCGGACCTTCGAAATCGTATGTTGATGTTTCCTCGCATTGTCGGGCGTAGCCCGAAGTTGTTTCTCGCGAGGTAAACTCACTGAACTGCACTGAACTGACTGGTCGCACCAGTTGCGCGACGGCTTCATTCTCGGCCTCCAAGATCGCAACCTACGGCGCAACCGATAGGAGACAGTGTTATTCTCGGCCGCCGAGGGCGCAACCTATGGCGCAACCGATAGGAGACGGTTTTATTCTCGGCCGCCCAGGGCGCATCCTATGGCGCAACCGATATAAGTCGATTTATTTTCGGCCGCCGAGGGTGCAACCTATGGCGCAACCGATGCGACGGCTTTATTTTCGGCCACCGAAGGCGACACCTATGGCGCAACCGATAGGAGACGGCTTTATCATTAGCCGCCGACGGCGCAACGTCTGGCGCAACCGATCGGAGACGGTGTTGTTCTCGGCCGCGGACGCAACCTATAAGATATAGTGATAGAAGACGCTTCCATTCTCGGCCGCCGAGGGTCCAACCTATGGCGCAACCGATAGGAGACGGCTTTATCCTCTTCCGCCGAGGGCGCAACCTATGGCGCAACCGATAGGAGACGGCTTTATTCTCGTCCGCCGAGGGTGCAACCTATGGCGCAACCGATAGGAGACGGTGTTATTCTCGGCCGCCCAGGGCGCAACCTATGGCGCAACTGATCGGAGACGGCTTTATTCTCAGCCGCCGAGGGCGCAACCTATGGCGCAACCGATAGGAGACGGTTTTAATTCCAGCCGCCGACGGCGCAATCTATGGCGGAACCGATATGAGGCGGTTCTATTTTCGGCCGCCGAGGGCGCAGCTTAAGGCGCAACCGATAGGAGACGGTTTTATTCTCGGCCGCCGACGGCGCAACCCATGGCGCAACCGATAGGAGATGGTTTTATTCTCGGCCGCCGAAGGCGACACTTATGGCGCAACGGATAACTGACGGCTTTTTTCTCGGCCGCCGAGGGCGACACCTATGACGCAACCGATGGGAAACGGTTTTATTCTCGGCCGCCGAGGTGCCAAGAGAAGGAGGATGAGCAGGAGGAGCAAGAGGAGAAACGAGGACGAGGTCCTAGACGAGGACAACGAGATGGAGCTGGGGCAGGAGGAAGACGAGAAAGACGAGGAGGATGAGAAGGAAGACGAGGAGGAGGACGACGACGGCGATCAGGACGGGGAGGAGGACGGGGGGTAATACGAGTTGTACGAGGATAAAGTGTGGGCATTCGAATGCGCGGGGGGACCGCCCGATTGATTCTCGCCGTTTTGGGCTGGCGGTGGGGCCCAAGCGGCGAGCTGTCTTGTGATTCGATCACTGTTCTGGTGACGACCTTTTCCAGAAGCTGCCCCATACGGCCGCGAAGGGGGAGGACCACGGGAGGAGGAGGAGGAGGAGGAGGAGGAGGAGGAGGAGGAGGCGTTGTCTCTTCGAATCTAGGCCTCCCAGGTGGGGTCGGAGTAGATGGGGTCAGAGGATCGCGCCGCATCACCGACGCATCGCCGACGCATCACCGATGCGTCTCGATGTCGGGCCCGATTTGTTTCACGTCGATGTCGCCGATGCACCGCCGACGTCGACGATGCATCGCCGGTGCCTCACCGTCGCATCGCCGCTGCATCGCCGATGCATCGTCGATGCGGGGCGATGCTCCGACCCCACCTACTCCGACCACGGCTAGGATTAAGTCGGGCCTGTCCCTCTACAGGAGGAAGATTCAAAAATAGTCCAAAAATAGTCTGGGGACAATGTTTTCGAGTATCTTTTTGACAGTTTGGGAGTATTTTTTGAGTATCTTTTTTTTTCGTCGAAAATCCCCCTGCAGGGGGATACGCCCCACCTCAGGCCAGGAGGCCTCTATCGGAGCGAGGAGCCCCCCCCAACCAAGGGGGGGTCGGGCAAGGGAGACCCGGAAGGTGCCTCCCACTTACGGGGGGCGCGCGCCTCCCGCGCGCGCGCGGCAGGACCGGGAGGACCCGGAGCCCTGCGCCGGCCTGTCGCTGGAGGCCGCGCGCCCCTCCGTCGGGGGGGCCGGGCAGAGGCGAGAAGCGTCCCGGCCCGCCGACGGGCCCACCGAGGAGTGCTCTCTTCTCGGGGGTGGACAGAACCCCCAACAGTGACACGTCGATTGGTGAATTGTCCGTTTTCGGTTCTCGAGAGGGCGCCGCGGCCGTTATTTTCCAGGCTTGCGCCCGCCAGGTTTGGGCCTCAGGTCGTTTTCACTAAACCACGTTTTACTAAAGGGAGGTCTGTCCATCCCCGATCTTCTGCACGAGCGAACTGGGCACGGAAAGAATGGGTACAATGCCCAACGGTGGATCCTGTTCATTTTAAGCAGGACTCTCTGTCCACGCCGCCGCGGCCTGTGTCCATTCGAGACAGAAGGCCGCCTGCCCAACAGCGGCCGCTGTTGGTTTGGGACAACATTTGTTGTTGGGCCTTGTACCCATTTTTTCCGTACCCATGGTTGGCGTCCAAATCTCTGAGAGCTTCTTGTGGTCTGCGCGGGATGCTCTCAGCACGTGTCCAGCTGGGGCGGCCTTGTTTTACCACCTCGGCCTCACGTTCTCAGAATGCTGCTTCCGTTATCAGAACTTTTCTGTTGTCTGGTAGCAAATCCTGGGGGCCAAGTATACCCTCGTAATTCCGTCCTTTAGCGTCGACAAGCGTCGATTAGCGTCTGGGAGTCGACGAGATAGCGCTGACTTAGCGTCGGTTAGCGACAAGATGGTATGGGAGGCTCCCATGCGTTGCTTCCGAATTTTTGTTCTAAGAACGGAATCCTGTCTAAAGGGTGTGTGTGTGTGTGCCCCGGTGTGTGTGTGTGTGTGAGTTCGATCGGGTTTTGCACCGAACCGCCCAAAAACAGATGCCCCCCAGCCGCCGGCAGCTCCCGATAGTGGCCGATGGGTTGGGCATGCGGGGGGCATCTGCCTGCGGCAGCTCGGTGCGCCAACGGATCGAACTCGGGCCCCCCTCTCAGGGTCGCCCCTCGTTTGGTGGACCCCGCTGAGAGCAGCGCACGGCAGGCCTCTAGGCATGCCGGGACGGTCGGTCCCTGCGCGCAAGGGGGGCGGCGGGCGGCGACGTGGGCTTGCCGGGCAGGTCTGCCGCCGTCGGCGGGGGGGCGCGCGGACCCCCTTTGCGGAGGGGCCTTCTGGTGAGGTGCTTGCTCGCTTTGGGGACCATGCCCGGGACCCACCTGATAGAGCTGTTCGACTCCAATTTCGACCCCAGTTCGACTCGGGTTCGGCTCAAGTTCGACTCGGGTTCGACTCAGAGTCGACTCAGGGTCGACTTACATCGACGGACGTTCGACGCAGCTTCGACGCACGAGTGGAGCGAGTGTCTGCAGGAAGGTCCCCAGAATGAGCATCCAACTCTGGGCCCTCGAGTCGGGGTGCGGGAGAGGCTGGCTCGGCTGGCGCGGCAGTCCGAATCGGCCTCCGTCGAGGCAGTTTTTCGTCCGACTCCAGCACGTTTGCTTGCACTCCGAGGAGGAAGAGGTACCCACACCTCTACCCTTCCCTCGTTTTCCCCTTTTTGGGCCTCCTGGGCGGCCCTCGTCGCCGCAGCTGGATTCGCCTCGAGATTCTGGTCAGAACGCACCCCGCGAGAGGTCCAAGGAGTAGCTGTGTCGGTACCTGCTGGCTTCCCTGGTCTTTCGCCCGACTCCAGCATGCTGACCTGCACGGAGGGGGAGGGGGAGGGCGGGGCGAGGCCCGAAGTGGAAGCTGGACTTCACGCAAGTCGGGGCGCGCTCGCACGCCCACCTCGGCCCAGCGCTGCTTGGAAAGGCGGCGGAGGGGTCGGCGGGGCGCTTGGGAATGGCGTGCAAGTAGAATGACTGGGGTTCGGGGCAATCAATTCATGCTCCTCTTCCTCCCCCTCCTCCTCTTCATCCTCCTCCTCCACCTCATCCTCCTCCTCACGGGAAGGACGACGACGACGACGACCTCTCCTTTCTCCTCCTGCTCCTCCTCCTCCTGCTCCTCCTCCTCCTCCTTTTCCTCCTCCTCATAGTGGAGTGACCACCGGCGAGAATATGCCGCCCTCTTGCGGCAGGCAGGCCCGGAGGGGCTCCAATCATATGTAAGCAGGGACTGCCAGAGCGGGCCGCGGGGTCGAGGTCTTGATGTGATGCATGGCCTCTCGGGTGCCCTACGACCACCGGTGCGGCGGCTTCCCCTCGCCCGCTACATTTTGATGTCGCTCCGTGCGAGCCCCCAGATTGTGCGAGCTGTTCTAATCACTCTGGACGGGGGCCGAGTAGATGGGGTCGGAGGATCGCGCCGCATCGTCGATGCATCGGCGATGCAGCTCGATGCGTAGCTTGATTTTTACCTAACAGCGAAGACTGATAGATTCTAGTGGGGTCAAAAGAGAGCATCCTGATTCCCCAGGGGGGTCTGGGCAGGATCCGGGGGATGCCGGGGAAAACCGGGGATCCGCGCCTGATATGGGGGAACTCAGTCGGGGGTGCCGTGGGTGCCCGCCTGATATGGGGAAAGTCAGTCGGGGGTGCCGCGGGTTCACGCCTGCTATGGGGGAACTCAGCTGACGGGTGCCGCGGGTGCTTGCCTGATATGGGGGAACTCAGTCGGGGGGCCGCGGGTGCACGCCTGAAATGGGGAAAGTCAGTCGGGGGTGCCGCGGGTCCACGCCTGATATGGGGGAACTCAAGTGAGGCTGAGGCTGCGGCTGAGGCTGAGGCAGGCTGAGGCAAACGCTGAGGCAGGCTGATGCATCCGAAAGCCCATGAGCAGTGAGGAGGAGAGATGCCTCCTGCCGAGCGCCACGGTGTGCTCAGAGGGAGGAAGAGGAGGAGGAGGAGGAGGAGCAGGAGGAGGAGGAGGAGGAGGAGGAGGAGGAAGGAGGAGTTCGAGGAAGGATACGCAAGGTTCTTCTCAGCGGTTCCGGCCTTTGGGGGCCCAGTTGCGGGGATCCAGGACGTTTCAAGATTTGCCTTCATGGCGTCTGGCCTCTGGAGCCTCAGTTGCGGGGATCCAGGACGTTTTAATATGTATACATATGTATGTTCTTATATGTAATATTTTTATACATCTGTATGTACTTATGTGTAGTATGGAGCGCCCCCCCTGGCCTCGAGAAGCGGTCACGGGGGGGTTGCTCCGGCCAGGGTGCGTTCTGACCACCTCCTGGGGCGCTTCCCCCCGCCGCGAGAAGCGGTCACGGGGGGGGCGCCCTGGCCTGGTCCTGTCTCGTTTGGACCTACATCCATTGATCGAATCGTCTCGTTTCGAGATACACTTATCGACAGCAGTGAGTCGTTCGAAACTAAGTCCATTGATGGCAGTGTCTCGTTTGGGGCTACACCCATTCATAGCATGGTCTCGCTGGTACCTAAATCCATTGATAGCAGTGTCTCGTTCGGAGATGAGCTAATTGATAGCAGTGTCTCGTTTGTACTACTCCTGCTACTAGTGTTTCTACTGCTACTACGATTCCTCCCATTACTCCTACTCGTTCACTACAACCACTACAACTACTACTTCACTACTACTACTACTACTACTACTACTACTACTACTACTACTACTACGACTACTACTACTACTACCACTACTACCACTACTACTACGACTACTACTACTACTACTACTACGACTATTACTACTACTACTACTACTACTACTACTACTACTACTACTACTACTACTACTACTACTACTACTACTACTACTACTACTTCTACTACTACTACTACTACTACTACTACTACTACTACTACTACTACGACTACTACTACTACTACTACTACTACTACTACTACTACTACTACTACTACTACTACTCCTACTCCTACTACTACTACTACTACTACTACTACTACTACTACTACTACTACTACTACTACTACTACTACTTACTACTACTATACTACTACTACTACTACTACTACTACTACTTTTACGTTTACTACTACTACTACTACTACTACTACTACTACTACTATTACTACTCCTACTACTACTACTACTACTACTACTACTACGACTACTACTACTACTACTGCTACTACTACTACTACTACTACTACTACTACTACTACTCCTACTCCTACTACTACTACTACTACTACTACTACTACTACCACTACTACTACTACCATCACTACTACTCCTGCTACTACTACTGCTACTATTACTGCTGTTCCTGCTATTGCTGTTGCTGCTGCTTTTGCTGCTGCTACTGTAGTGATTGCTACTGCAACTACTGGGATTGCCACTGCGACTGTACCTGCGACTGCCGTTGTGATCGCGATTGCCATTGCGACTGCGACTGCGACTGCGAAGGCATCAGAATTCTATAACAGGACTCCTACAATAATCTCAAAAAGAAAGCTCCCAGATATGCTCCTACACATCGCTGTTAGGTTTTTTTGCTGGGATCATCTACACGCCGGCGTCGCCGAAACATCGCCGACGTCGCCGATGCATTGGCAATGTGGCGCGATCTTTCGACCACATCTACACGGACCCCATCTAGGATGCTTTGGTTGAATCCAGTCAGGTGCCGGCCAAGAGGTAGCAATTCCACTCCTCACCCTTCCCCCACCCTCTCTCCTCTTCATATCTCATCCAATTTGTCCTTGTCCACCGCCTCCTTGTCTTCCTCCTCACACTCGCCCCCCTTCGCCGCCTACCAGTTCTCCTCGTGGGCCTGCTCCTCATCCCATCCCTTCTCCTGTTCCTTCCAATCCGCTTCCCCTGCCCCACATCCCTCCTCCCCTCCTCCCCCTCCTGCTGCTGGTCCTCCCGATCAATCTTGTATGTCTGCTCATGTGTCTCGTTGCGGTCAGAGGATGAGTATAAAACATGTGTTGTTCATCCTTTCGGTGTGCAGCATGCGGAACCCATGTCGTCGCAACCACGCCAAGGATGTAATTATGGCCCGCCGCAGGAAGTCGAGCGTTTAGCAGGTTACGTAGTATCTAGAACTCGTTTGGGGGCCCGCCACCCACGTGTTGTGCCTTATACCGCCGCTCTGTGTGTAATAGATGCACCGTCCTTCCAGCTAGCACAGTATAGGCCAGGCACCACACGGGGCCTAATTTGTGAAATCATTCTCTTCGCATTCACTATGAATTTGGCCCGTGTGCGTGTCGCTCCGCGCAAGTTGCTTCGATCAGATCTCTTGTGCACAATTCCGTTGCTCGCCTGACAGAGCCGCTCTTCTTGTCGAGTGCCTGTGCATTTCGATTCATGGCAGGACGACCCCATGTGGTTCCGAAGCCGTGAAGACGGCAAGGCGACCTGCTTTTTTTGCTGGCTCTTCAGTGTTAACCAATCGTTGGTATCACAGTGGTGTTGGTTTATGTCAGTATCGTTGGACCGATCCCCATCCCCATCCCCGGCACGATCCCCTCCATCCCACCACCCCAGTTGGGGATATGCCCCTCGAAACCCGAAGGAAACAGCCTGCATCCCCATTTAGGGGAGTAAGTCGGTCAGTGTGGCGCGGGCCACGCCGGTGGGGCTCGGTTAAACGATGCTCATTATGGGACATGACTACGTGCCGGATCTCGTGGATTCAGAAATTTTCTCCTCGATGTCGGGTGGGTTCAGCCACGTTGTCGCCCAGCAATTTCGAGTGCAGCAGTTCCGCGGGTATGAATTCAGCTAGTGTGATGCCCGAGTTTGTAGCACACCGCGGAGTTGCCAGTTTTGAGATGGGCGTCGGGTTTACGGTTGCGATGGCGCGCGGTTGAGAACCTTACCAACACCACCAGAGGGCCCAGCAGCCCAGCGAAGCGAGGAGGTCCACGATGCCTCCCCGAGCTGGAGGCTGGGGACGTCTCGAGCGAGAGGGGGGGCCACACCAGCAGGGAGGCGGGGGACGTCTCGGGCGAGAGGGGGGGCCACACCAGCAGGGAGACCCCCATTGGCCTCCTCGCATCTCCTCGCCCTGGTGGTGTTGGTGCCGCCTTTGCTTGCTCCCTGCCCGCGACCCGAGACATCCGCCGGAGGGCCGCCGGAGAGCCGCCGGATCTCGGAGATTCTCGGTGCCTCCTCACCCGATGCTGCCCGCGTCCTGGAGTCGTCTTCAAGACATCTCCCGGATCGGTGCCGAGCGGTCCGGCCGCAGGTGCACCTGGGCAGGCCCGCGCGCGCCGTGGAGCTGCTCGGGCGCCGCTACCTGATGGTGCGCATGGAGCCCGCGGCCGGCGCGGCGGGGCGGGCGGGGGTCAACGGCACCGTAGCGGGTAGTTACTAACGGGTTTTTTGAATGGTTGCCGAAAGTTGCCACTTTTAGACCTTTTTCTTGCATTGCAGCTTTGCCCACATCGGGAAGGATTGGGTTCGCTGGGTCACTGGCCAAAGTACCCGTTAGTGGAGTCCCCGTTTGAGGGGCGCTGAGGGGGGCGGCCGCGAGGGGTGCGGGGCGTGGGGATTTTGGGTTCTTCTTGTCAGGACCGAAGGCAGGACGTACACGTGCATGGATCCACGCTGGTTTCGAGAGGACGCATCGCGCGAATGTCCGAATATCATGCGGTCGGTCTCGCGGATCGAGGGGCCGTGTTCATGTCCATAGCTGGGCGCGTACGTCCCTTGTGGGCCCCCCTATCTGTAGTCATCGCGGAGAAAGGGACCCCCGACCCGAATCGCATGATGAGGACGTGGCCTCACTTAGGTCCTCCATCGGAGTCGGGCGAATGGGTCCTTTGCGAAAGGGGTTTCTAAAAAGGTTCGCAACAGTTCGTTCGTGCGGGGTGCGCCCGTTTGTGCAGTATCAGCACGTAGTTGCAGCGCGCAATGAAGCCACAGGATGGACTATGGCATGGTATCTTTGCGACCCCACTGCGAAAGACCTCCTGTGCCCGGAACCAACTCCAGTCATCGAGGATAAAAGAACCCCTAACCCTAATAGCATGATAAGGACGCGGCCTGACTTAGGTCCCCGTCTTCGCAGCAGGGATCATACAGTCTGGGCGGTTTTGTTTGATATTTATGCAGAAATGACCCCCTGGCCCTAATGTTATGGGCCCTCCTAACTTGGTCCCACACAGTATTAACGATGACTGTAGCCAATCCCGGTGGAAACCAAGCCAACGCGCTAACTTGGGTCCCCTCCCAAAGGGTTTTGGGTACTGTGATTGCTGCTTACCACTCCCGGGCCGTCGGCCGAGGGAGTATCCTGGTGTGTCTTCGGGGTTGCTGGCGCCGCATTGGGGGCACCTTCTGGCATGGAAGGCGACTGCGGCGCCACCCTCCGCGCACAGCGGGCGGCAGACGCGGGCCGTCTTTTCGGGCCGCCTCGTCGCCTTCCGGGAGGCCTTCGTGGGGGGTTCTCGTGATAGCGCTGGCATGCTATTGATGCTCGCTGCTTGGGCGTATCAACTCTGTCCTGTTGTGTACGGGAGCACGAAGCAGTCTGTGTTGCGTCATTGCTCAAGATCCAGCAAGCGTGCAGACGATTGTTGGAGTCCTGCAACATCGTTGGCTTGAAGGGCTCGATCACGTGAAGGGAACTGGGAGGCCTCGGACCCCACGCTCTCCAATGTGCAGAGACATGCATCATCCAGGTGCGCTGTTTTGGCTGAGCATTGTTGTCGAACCATTCGCCGATCATGATGTGGCAGTTCCTCGTCCTGCGTCGTCATGTTACCGAATGATGGAGGGAGCGCAAAGCAGTGCTGGCGCGCATGGCAGCAATGGTTTGCAGTATCATGCCGCAAATGCCTCGTTCCTTCTCTGCAAGACCCGCATCATGAGCAGAATGCGGAGCATGGTCGTGGGGGAAAGAATGAGACGATGAGTACGAGGAAACCAGGAGAAGGTGGTGAAGGAAAACGTGAGGGGCGGCTAGGTATGTCTGACTTTCGGGAAGGGTTTGGGGTGGCTCCCCTCCCATCTCAACAGGGCTTGAAAGGGCGTGAACTATGAGGAGCAGGAGGAGGAGGGTGGCGGTGAGGAGATCGGCTAGGCCCAGGACGAGGGGAAGGCTGGATGCGGCAGCGGCTGAGGCGAAGGGCTGCGGCGCGGAGGCGATGGACGACGAGTGGGTTGAGGGGAACGAGGAGGAGGAGGGGAAGAGGGATCTTGGGGAAAGGCAGAGTCGAGGAAACGGATCCATGGGTAGAAGGCACATGATTTTGCGACGGGCTTCGCTGTCGTACGACATCGGCAAGCTCCGTCGCCAGACCAGGTGAGCATTGGTATCCGGTTCCCGCGCCAGATGCACGGATCCCTAATCCATGTTCGTGTGCGCCCGAAAATGGGGGAGGAGGAGACGAGGGGTTAGGGGGAGAAGGGGTGAGAAAAGGGGGAAGCAGTTGGAGGAGGAAAGCACCACGAAGATGAGTGGTGTGGTTTCATATGAGTCGGTTGACGAGGAGGCGGAGGAGGATGAGGTTTAGGAGGGAGGAACGGCATGATGTGGCGGAAGGTGTTGACCATGGCACGTTTTCATTTCGCGAGTTTCTTGTGCAAGGGGCCTAGTTGACGTGTCAAAGTTTGATCGGCGTGTTTGGCTAACCTGTCCGTGTGCCAGTAACATGTACACGTGTGTACACATATCTATGTATACACGCTTTCTCTTTGTTTTGTTTTTCTGACGTGCATGATTCCTGTCAGCTGCTTCGGGGCTGCGGCCTGATCAGGATCGTGGCCTTGGCGGGGCTTCGGCCTACTCGGGGGCTGCGGCCCCTTCGGGGTCGTGGCCCCTGGAGTTCCTGCTCGTTGGCGAAACTGGTCCTGCTCCATTCATTTCCCGCTCTCCCGGGTATCGTCTTTCTGCGTTGTGAGGCGTGGAGCGGGGCTCGCCCCCCGCGCGGGCGGTCTTGGGCTTGGGGCCAGTTCGCGGTCCACCCTGGCGGGCTCTACCTTTGGCCAGCCGGGTGCCCGCCCGTCGGATGCCGTCGGGGCCCCTGTGGTCAGGCGTCGAGCGGGTGCGTGTGTGGGAGCTTCTCGAGCTGGGGCTACAGCTGGTTGAGCACGGGCACGTGGCCCCGAGCTTCGCTCCTATGTGCAACCTGCACTTGCCCGAAGGGGTGGAGAAGCATAATCTTATGCAGACGTCGACGTTCCTATGCACCTACCCTGCAACACTATCATCGTATGAACTTGATGATACACAGTGGAGGCACCCTGGACACTTGATGATAAAACGATGTCCAGGGAAGTTGTCCTGATCAGGGATGTAAAGGAAACAGGTGTGGGGAAGCCGTCATACCGTCATACCCCAAGAGGGGGGGATAGAGGGGAATCGGAGGAGGAGGGGGGGGATGGAGGAGGAGGGATAAGCGGATGAGGGAGAGGAGGAGGAGGAGGAGGAGGAGGAGGAGGAGGAGGGCGAGCAGAAAGGCCAGAGGCCTCTTCGATGCCTCTCGGATTCTCTTGGGATGTCTCTTGAGAGGTCCTGGAGTCCTCCTGGGGCGCCTTGGGGGCCTCTTGGCGTTCCCAGGGGTGTCCTGGAGCGTCTTGGGTGCCCAGGGGGAGCCCCTTGGGACCTCCTGGGGGTCTCTTGGGAGCCTCTTGGGGACCTCATGGGAGCCTCATGGGGACCTCTTGGGAACCTCTTGGTGGGCGCCTCTCGGGGACCTCTGAGGCACTCGTTGGGAGCCTTGGGGGTCATCTTGGGGCCATCTAGGAGAAGATCGATCAAAGAAGGGGGTGGGTCCTCAATTAACGTCGCACCTCCAGGATGCCAAAAGGGGTCCAAAACCTTGGCAGAATCAATGATGTTCGCCTTCCTGCCAAGGCCTTCTAGGAGGCTCCACTCGGTCGCGGCTCATCCCTTCCAGGTCCAGGGGAGGGGTATGGGGAAGGTGCCCTCTCTCCGAAAGGGGAGAAAGGAGGGGTGGAAGAGGAACAGCTCGAAAGCACTCACGCCCAGAGGGCCGGTGGCATTCCCCTCCGCTGGCACTGAATTCCTGCCGCTATCGCGCTCATGCCCAGTAGCCCCGTCCTCTGTAACGCCATCGCGACGTGATTCGCAATGTCCACAGGAACCACTTGTGGACTCAGTGGATCTCGGGTTGCTGCCGTTATGTCCACCACCACCTGAAGAGCAGCACGGACCAGTACCACAGAGCAGTACATGACATATGCTGGGCGGGAATGGAAGAGGTTAATTCCGTTCCAGAGAGTTCCGGAACGCTCTGAGAAGGCCGCGGCGCCCGAGACAGTATCAATTGCCGCCGGATCTCAGATATTCCTGATCTATCGTCACCCGATGTTTTCCTCGCCCTGGTATCGTTGTAAGATGGGCAATTTAGAGATGTTATGAGGAGAATCCTGGAGGCCTCGCGCGGCGCGTAATACTTGTACTATCTAGTCCACACGTCAGCTCCGTAAGCTATGGGTCGACGCTCGCGCGGCGACGTTCCGGCGTCAGTCCGACGTGAATCCGACGTAGTTCCGACGTTGCCCGACGTAAATCCGGCGTGGATCCGACCCAAACCAGGTCTCAAGTTGCCGCGCGAGGCTTCAGGATTTTCCTGATAATAGATGCTTGCAGTTTTTGCTGTGCACTTGTTCGAGCTGTGGGGCGGTCTCGGGCAGTTTTGCCGAGGCTGCGGGGCTCGCGAGCACCGGGTGTGAAGAGGCCCGCCGCAGGCACGCCGATTGTTGTCCGAAGCAAACAGCCCGCCGCGGGCTCAATTTTTAGCATTATTAGAAAGTTCGAGTTACGTACCCAAAGATGTATGTTCCGTCGAATCTGCGGAAAATGCACAGTGTGTTCGGTAGATCTACGGAGCGTTCTACGCATTTTGCGTGTTTGCATCGGGAAGCTCAATTTGGCAACAACAAAAAAATGCAATCTCATGCCAAGAAACACCCTGCTTGCCTTCAGGGTGCCCTAGGTTTCTTGGATTTCGATGGTTGTTGTGGAGAGCGTCGCGTTCCCGCACTGGGGTCTAAGAGTTTGGTTTCTTGTGGAAGATTTCTTGTGGACTGGCCACCACATACAGAATCGATCTACCCTCAAGATTATCTTTGCCGTCGAAGCTACGGAACAATGCACATAATGTTTGGTGGATATACGGGCCATTCTTCACATTTGATTAAGGTTCGAAGGACAGATCAAGTCTGGGGCAAGTCAATTTTGTAGTCGATGCTCTCCTTGAAGACTCCTGGCGGGTAGCGAGGCGAGGCGTCGGCGGGTCGCGAAGGTCGGAGGCTGGCGTGCCAACGTGCCCGCCGCAGGCGCCGACCTGATCCTCAGTGGCCGCCCGCCCTCCGCAGGCGGCGTGATTTTTTCGATTCGGTGCGCGTGGGTCGCGGCTGCGTCCGCGTGCGGACCCTACCCCTGCGGGTCCAAGCGACGCTGGGGCAGCAGGCACCTCAACTGGGACTCACTTGGGGTGCAGACATCCTTCGGGTTCCGAGCCCCAGCCAGCGTTTTCCGAGATCTGGCCTGCAGAGCGTGGGCCGCGGGCGTGGATTGCGGGCCGCTCGGCGACAGCAACACAGCACAGCACGAGGCGGCACCGTGGAGCCCCACTTGCGCCACGCACCCGGGGAGAGTGTGAGACCCTGTGTCTTTTTTGTTCACTCAGCTGTCTCTCTCTCTCTCTCTCTTGATTTCTTTCTCTCGTTCTTTCTTTCTTTCTTTCTCTCTCTCTCTCTCTATATATATAGTGCTATGCATATACGCACATAGATAGACATATGTGTACGTGCATGTATGTATATACATGTATATGTAGGGGCCGAGAGACAAAGCAAGACAGAGAAACACACATACATATATAGAGAGAGAGAGAGAGAGAGAGAGAGAGAGCGATAGGCCGTCGGCCGATCCCGCCACCGTGCTCGGGTCGTGGACCAGCAGCCTTTTGAGAGGATCCTGGAGATTTCTTTGGGCGACATCTTCTTCAAACCTCTGGGCAGGCCTCTTCTCGGCATCGCTCGGACGTGTGCCTTCTTCCTCGGCGCGGGCCGTCGAGGAGCACAACTGTTCGCCTTGCGCAAAACGGCATCAACAACAGCAACACATAACACAAACAACTTTAGCAACAACAACAGAAATAATAACAACAACAACAACAACAACAACAACAACAACAACAACAACAACAACAACAATCATTTTACCCGAACGCGTGGTGTTCTCCCCAGTGCCAGGGTTTTCATACGACACCAGGCAATACCCCCACTTCGTGGGGGGGCATTACAAGCTCTACCAAATATCCAAACGACTCTTCGCGACCACCCAAACCCAGCTTCCCGCCCTATGACGTTGGGACACTTCACTTCGTGGCGTGCGGACGACCGTGGCTACTACACTGGCGTGGGGTACACACCCACAGAACTTGGTCACTTATTCGGGGCGCGCATGTGCCCAGCATGGTGCAATTGTGCCATACAATACATAATACAGAGAGACGAATGTGTCCCGCATGGTATTATTTGACAGGGATGATGGCCCTGGCAGGTGCGCAACCGTTGTCGCAGAAGTTCGAAAAAGTTGCTCGCAAAAGCCCGTTTGACAGAAATGTTTAAAAAGTGTTGGGTTTCCTACGAATCCGCAAGAGCGCGCGGGATGAGATTTTGACATTTTTTTGTTGAAAAACCATTGGTTTTTTGATGTTTTTATGTTAAAATCGCTCCGAACACTAAGCTTTTGGAAGGATTTCGTCTTGCGCGCGCGAATGTCCACTTTACCTTATTTTTTGCAAGGGATTCTTGAAATTTGATTATATTAGAACAAGAAATGTCATTTTATAGTGTTTTTTTGCAAGGGAAAACGGATTACAACAAAACAACCGGATCTTGATCAACTCGAATTACCTGAGGCTTCCTCACGAAAATGATGAAAACGTGGCTGCGGCCTAGGCGCGGCGGGGGGGGCGCGCACCAGGGGGCCCAACAATAATTATTCTTTAGAATTAATAATGTTCAACAACAACAACAACAACAACAGCATCAACAACGACAACCACACGCACACACGCACACACGCAAACACACGCAAACACACACAAAACACACACACAAACACACACACACACACAAAAAAAAAAAAGCGAAGCACAACTCGCGAAACCACTCAAAAACATTGGGAATGGGCGTCCGAACGATGGCCAGTCTTGGGGCGCATGCGAGGGGCCCCTCGCGGGCTTCTTCTGGGGCCTCCTCGGTGCTGCGTCTCCGGGGTCCTCTCTCAGGGCTTCGGGGGGGGGGGGGGGCCTCTCGGGAGGCACAGCTCCTGAGGTGTCAGTGGCGGCGCCTCTTGGACAGCTCGGGACTCCATCAACGCTTGCTCCTCTTTACTCGCTACTATCTACTCACTACTCATTACTCACTGACGTAAGCAACTACTCGCTACGAGTCTAGTAGCGGAAACGAACACTGACACAAGCATAACAATTCGGAGGCCCGCGCGCGTTTCTCGGATCGGCGCTGGAGCCCCCTTAGCGGCGCCTCCGGCGCGGATGGGGGTCCGGCGCCGATCCGAGTAATCCGCGCGAATCTGTGAGTTTGTATGTTTATGTCACCAGTTGTTCACCTCGTAGTGTGCGAAACTTGCATAAACGCCACCGTGTTTGGGACGTTGTTGGCCTCCTCGGGCCAGCCCCGAGGGCCCCCGGAGACGGACCCACAGGCCAGAAGCGAGCGTCCCGCATCACGCCCCCGAGGCCTCTGCAGACGTCCAGCCGCTACCCCTGGGAGCGGCCAGGAGCGCCAGGTCGCTCGGGCCCCTGAGCCCCTGGTGGAGCCTCCAATGCTCCACGTTGAGGGATCGAAGAAACCTGAAGACACTCCACTCCAGCCGGTCTCTCCAATCCCGTGTTGATGATCATGGGAAAGGCCACGCGCACGCCTACTTCTTTCCGTGCAGCGACACTCCATTCGGTGTTTCGCGGCACGGTGACGGATCCAAGTGCACGTATCCATATATATATAGATGTATATGTAGACATATGTATGTATGTATACATATGTATGTATGTATGTATGTATGTATGTATGTATGTATGTATGTATGTATGCATCTGCAGCTACGCAAGTCTGTGCAAGCATGCGGCGTTGTCAGCAAACATGTTGTGTTCTACACTTTGGACTGGGATTCGTCATGGTTTGTACCCGTCGGGCGTTGCATATGTATATCGATCTACATCTACATATATATATATATATATATATATATATATGACCACACGACTGTTCACGCTTAACTTTGGCGGTTCGAGTGCTACGGGTCCTCCTCCACCTCGTTCTCTTTTTGCCCTGTGGTACTTCGCTAATGATAATGTTCCTCTTCTCGGTGAGTCATGCTCTTCGCACGGGTTGCACGTCCCCGCCAGTTCCTCATCGTGCATCCGCCTTTTCGGGGTGGGCTATCGCAACCCGTGCAACGACGACATCGTCCTGGTGCACACCGACGGCGTGCTTTCCTTCCAATCAAGAGTTTGAGGAGAGAGGAGTAAGTCACCGCCCACCAAGCCACCCCAACCCAACCCGAAGGCCCTGCTTTGCCCTCCATCTCCAGGGGGGGGAGGGTCGGGGGACATCGAAAAAACACATGTGAAGCCCGTGCGCCCCCCGACCCGAAATTCGGGTCTTCGGGTTGGGGGGTTGAGGTGGTCTGGTATAGGTGGTCAGTAAGGGGTGGAAGAAGAGGATTGCAGAGGCCGTGCGGCCGGCTTCGCCGACCCTGAATGGGGGTTTCGGAGGAAGGCCCCAAGAAGGTCGTGGATGCGCAGGGGCTGGTGGTGGGGGCCTCGTTTGAGCCAAGGTCTCTCGGGAGCGTCCCTGGGGCCTTATCAGGATTCTTAGTGTGCTTTGGGGGGCCTGCTGGCGGTTTCGGAGGGTGCGCATCTTTGAAGGAGTGGCTCGAAATTTCAGTTCGGGTTCCCCTCATGTTAGCCTCTGGAGTGCTTCCGGGTATAAGAAGAGACTGTTGATCGATGGTGACGCATTGGCAGATCGTTGCAGCACGTCAGGTTAGTAGCATAGCAGAGGCAGCAGATCGCAGGGTGTCAGTGACAATGATGTCCTATGCTTTTCGACAGAAGCGAGACATGCGTGATTGTTGCGCGTCAGAAAAAAAATTGCATAAACAACAGTTTCGGAGTTCCGCCCGGATTTCTCGGATCGACGCTGGTCTCCCTGCCGGCGCTTCTGGCGCCCCCCCTTGACGCGTTCCGCACGCCATGGAGGGGAGCCCCGTGCAGATCCAAGAAATCTGCGCGAAGCTCTACACGTGTATGTTTCAGCTGGTTATGTTGTTCTTCTAATACTGCATTCAAAGGCGTCCATTCTGGGTTGCCTAGGCATCTGACAGGGCTTGCAGCACACTCTCAAGCATAGGACAACTGCCAAAGCAGAATGACCGAATCACGATCCGGTACCAGCGCAGGCCTACCGCGCAGTGCATCCAGCATGAGATCTACAACTGGTCTTTGGGAAGGCGCGCACATCAGTCGTGTCCTCTTCTTCTGGATTGATGTTGCTTTTACGGTGTTTTTCCATGCCACAGTCAAGCTCCACATGGTAAGCAGAGCTGGATTTGACGCGTAACGTGGTGACTCGGGGTGGGACTGTGGGAATGAGTTCACCATGAATGGGTGAAACTGACCGCGTGATATTATTCATGATATTTTCATCCCCGCCAGCCCTCCCCAGCTGAGCTTTCTAGGTTTGGCAAGGGTAAATAAAAACGTACAGTGACAGAGAAGGAGGGCAGCTGCCAATCTGAAGCTTGGGATCAGCATCAGCAGGCCCATGTGTAAACCATACCGTGCACCTTAGGGCGACCTGGGGACATCTTGGAGCCAGCTTGGTTTATCACCTCCCGAGGATGTCCCCAGGAGGACAACATCCTTCAACGTTCTTGGGCCCTTCAATTTTTTTGTCCGCGAGCGACAAGGAGGTCCTTAATTAGCCCCCCTCCCCGTCCGTCGGAGCCCGCCGACTCGCCTTGTTGTGACGCTCTCGGGGCGCCCTCCTCGATCCTCCCTCCCCTCCTCGATCTTCCGCATCACTCCTCCTCGCTCCTCCTCCTCCTCCGCCTCCTCCTCCTCCGATGTCCTGCTCAGCCTGCGAGCTTCGGGCTGCAGGCGGTTGTGACACTGTGAGCCATGAACCTTCGGGGCCCTGCTGGTTTAGGGGCCCCTTCCTTGGCTCGCACCGCCGCCGGCCCACCACAGCACGGCATATGTAGCTCTCGAAAGCGCGTTTCGGACGTCGGGAGGAGGCACGATGAGCTTCAGCACCCCTCTCCCCTCCTTCTCCGGGCGGTCGAGGGCTCGAGGAGAATCGCGCTTCGCGCGAGACTGCGAGCCTGGGCGGCTCGGGCAGACGGGGAGCGCTTGCGGGGGCAGGCGGGACGGGGCGGAAGTTTCGAGGAGGATGCGGGGAGCGGCTCACCTGTCCTCTTGTTTTGGCATCCCGCCGTTTGTCCTTCAGCATGTGTGGGCGGAGGCCTCACGGCCGGCGCAGCCGACCCTGAAGGGGGACGACGACGAGGACCACGACCGACGACGACGACGATGACGACGGCGACGACAAAAGCGACGACGACGGCGATGACGAAGGCGGCGGCGGCGACGACGACTACGACGACGAAGGCGGCGACGGCGACGGCGACGGCGACGGCGACGGCGACGGCGGCGGCGACGCTGAAAAAAATTACACGTCAGGAAAATTACGGATGTTACCCTCGTGGGGTTGTTTTGGGAGTGTTCTTGGGGTTTCTTAGGGGCTTCTTGGGGGCCTCGCGGGGACGTCTGGGGCGCGTCTTGAGGTTTTTTGGGGACCTCTTGGGGCGGAAGGCTCGAAACGTCGGTTAGTATTTCTTCTCTCGCGGCCTTATTCGGCCGTCTTGCGGGCCTCGTTGGCATCGGCATCCCGCCGTTTGTCCTTCAGCGAGCGCGGTGGATTTCAGAGCATGGCCTGCTTGGGATTGAGCTAGAAGCAAAGAATATTGGCTCAACTTGGGCTCGTCGTTCAGCCCCCTCAAGTCTATATCCATACGATCATCACACACGGTCTGACCCAAGTCGTTCGGCCTCCGAAATGGCCTCGACTGCCTGGTACCCCGTTTTACCAACTGTCTACCCCACGTGCCCTCCTTCAGAAATGCAAGAGCGATCAGGTGGTCTCCGATGCCGTTGTGAGCGGGCACTGCTGGGGCTCTTCGAATTGGCGCAGACATAATTCGCAGGCGAGTTCCCGGCGAGTCACAAAACAACAGTTAATCGTTTAGAACATCAAGCATATTCGGGGTTACATCTTCAGGGGCCCTATCCAGACGCACCCCTTGTCACGGTAGGAGGACACCATCTTATGTTCCCGAGTTGGGACTTAAACCACTTGACAAGTGGAACGTTCCATTGAGTCGGGGACTGGGCTGGCTCTACTTCATGTTACAGCCAGACCGAGGTATAAGATCCAGGTTAGGTCGGGGGGTACCCTAGTGCTCTTTGTGTTGGTTGGATGTTCTGTTTTGTTTTGTCCGACGGAGGGTCTCATGTTCTTGAATAATGTTCTTCTCGTCTGGGTCCGATTGCAGTGCTCGAACCAGCGACTCGCCCAGGGATTCGCTGCACCTCGAGGCGAGCCACCGCTCCTTCCGACTGCCGCGTAGACTCTGGCACCACCTGGGCATGTTTCCGCTATATGCGCGTCGGCCACGCAGGGGCGAAGCGCGCCCTCCGAATTCTCCTATGAGCGGGCGAAGAGCGGTATACCATAAACTTCTCCGCCTTCGGGGGCGCCTGCCCCCCTTGGGCGGCTGGAAAGTGCGTACCCCCACGTGGCACCGCAGGGGCATGAACTCTCCAGCCGCCCGGGCGGGGCAGGCGCCCCCGACGGCGGAGAAGTTGACTTCGTACCGCTCTTCGCCCGCTAATTGTAGTGCGAGCTCCGTCGCGGGCGCTTGCTGCCCACGCCGCCTGGGTAACGACATGCTTCGCGTTCGGGTCGGACGCGCGCCTCCAACCGAGGCGCACAGCAGCAGCACAGCCGAGCCGCGTCGTACAGTCAAAATCGGCGTTAAGGATGGGCTCTTTCTCGCCTGGGCACCTTCATCCTCCTGTTTTTAGCCAGCCTTGGTCCACGTTTGTGCTCGCGTATCCTTGGCTCTCGCGTTTTTCCAAGGGTCTTGCAGCCTAAATTCCATCCTGATCGTTATTTTTGACCGTACTCTTACAGCCGTGCTCCTCGGTCCACCCTGATCAGTTTTCCTCCCCAGCGGGCTTCAGCTTGGACGTCCAAAGGGCCTTGCGACCTTACCCCGCATCCTGTCCCTGAGCGTCCACGCGCGCTGCGCATCCTTTTGCACGTGCTCGGGTCGGACGCGCGACTCCAGCAGAAGTCGGGGCTCAAGAGACGGGGTCAATGCCAACGGGGGTCCGCCAGAGCGCCCGATGTTGCAGGACCCTGCAGGGCCAGGGTCGCATTGACCCGGGCTTGGGTGCAGGACTCTTGCGGGATCCTTCGGGTTGACCCAGGCTCGGGTGCAGGACCTTGCAGGATCCTGCAGGGCCTGACTCGCCCAGGTCTGGCTCGACCCGGGCCGGAAGGCCCCCGACAGGAAGCACGTCGCACCCGGGCGCCCCGCCTGCGCCCCTCAGGACTGGCGCAGGATCGCGCAGGATCCTGCAGGGCCTGGCCATGGCCTGGGCCTGGCTCGACCCGGGCCGGCAGGTCCCCGCGAGGAAGCACGTCGCACCAGTGCGCCCGCGCCCGCGCCCCGCCGGACGGGCGCCGGGATCGGCGGCGCGCCTGGGGGGGGGGGGGGCGGGCACCCTGACCTTCCAGGAGGGCTAAAAAATGGCACCCGACTGAAAAACCCATCCCAGAGGTATTCTGCGTCTTGGTTTTAGGTCGTCTCGTTTAGTTTTTTAGGTTTTGAGGCCTCCAGTGCTAAGGAATAGCTCTCTGGAAGGGCAGGGCAGGGGGCGGGCCTGCGCAGGGGGCTCGGGAGGCCTCGGGCCCGCCGGCGGGCTCGTTCGAGGAAGAGAGAGCGCTCCTCGGAGGCCCCTCCCTGCGGCCTTCTGTCAGGACGAACGAAATGGGTACGGAAAGAATGGGTACAATGCCCAACAGCAGTTCCTGTTCATTTGGAACAGGACTCGCTGTCCGCGCCGCCGCGGCCTGTGTCCATCCGAGATTCGAGACAGAAGGCCGCCTGTCCAACAGTGGCCGCTGTTGATTTGGGACAACATTTGTTGTTGGGCATTGTAACCATTCTTTCCGTGCCCATTTCGGGCGTCCAAATTCTGGGGAGCCTCTAGTCCGAGGCGGGAATTTCTACATGACCACCGCCTGGAGGGTCAGCTTTCGGAGCCTCGGCAGGCGGTGGGCATGGACATACTCGGGCCCCCAGGGGCCGAAACATATCCATATCCACCGCCCGTTGGGGCACCAGGACGTCGGTTCCATATGGAGAAATTCCCGCCTCGCACCTCCAGTGCCTTCGGAGAAGGCTCGAAGAGCAGAAGATGAGAAAACGCCATAAGCATAAGCTGTTGGCGCTCCGCGCGGATTTCCTGGGTCCGCGCTGGGCCCCCCCTTGGCGGCACCTCTGGCGCCGCCCCTGGCGCGCTCCGCGCGCCAGGGAGGGGGGGTCCGGCGAGGATCCAGGAAATCCGCGCGGAGCGCCAAACATTTAGGCGCATGGCGTGTCCTCTTCTTCTTCTGCTCTTTGGGCCCTCTCTGAAGACACCGAGGGCCCCCTGGAAGGCCGAAGGGGAGGGCCTCCGAGGAGCCCCGCCGCCCTCCGAGGAGGCCTGCCCCCCCCTCGCGCCTCCCCCGTCGGCGCGCCGCGGAGACTGACGCTGGGAGTCCGCCGCCGATGCCCTCCCGTCGCGACCCGGAGACGGGCGCCCAGGAGTCGCCGTGGAGGGCGAGGGCGCCGACGCGGACGGCTCGAGCGGCTGCGAGGAGCGCGCCCCCTCCTCCAGGGGGGGGGGTTGCATAAAGGGGGAGGACGCCTCGACCCGCGCGGCAGGGTGTTTTGCAAGTGCTCGAGGGGCGTTTTTGGGTCTATTGGTTGGTGTATGGGGCGAGCGGATCTCTGAGTCGCCCGGCCGGACTTGCTTGCTTGCTTGCTTGCTTGCTTGCTTGCTTGCTTGCTTGCTTGCTTGGTTTATTCTTAGGTGTGCGATCATGGACCGACCCCTCGCTCAACGCAGCCGTCCGGCTTTCGCGCCGAAGACCGCTAGAAACCGCCGAGGGCCGCCAGAACTTGCCGAAGGCCGCCCGCAGGCCGCCCGGAGGCCGCCGAAGACTGCCCTTAAGAGCGACGGGTACCAAGGGGTCCATGGTCGAGCACGTAGGTATTATGAAAGCCTTCTCCTCGTGCTCCTCCTTTTTGGGGCCTCCTGGGAGGCTCTCGTCGCCACCGCTGGATTCGCCCCGAGATCCTGGCCAGAGCGCGCCCGCCCCCGGAGAGGTCCAGGGAGTGGCGGTATCGGTACCTCTTGGCTCCCCAAACGACTTTTTGTTGTTTTGTTGTGCTGAGGTTTTCGATGTATTGTTTCAGGTGCTGTACGCGTTTCTGTTGTCCGTTCGACGGGAGTTTGTCCAAGGTGTTCGACGGTTTTTCCCCGATCAGAGCTTGCCTCTGTAGGGGTCCCAGCGGATTCATATGGTTAGGTGAGGTTAGCCACCGATTTCCGCGGCCCGCACGGGTGCCCGAGTGCCTGGGTGCTTTATGGCCATAGCCTTAAAGCCCTATAGCACAGTAGCCCTATAACCCTGTAGCCCTATAGCCCCATAGCCCCATAGCCCAACAGCCCTATAGCACTATAGCGCAATACGCCTATATCCCTGTAACACTATAGCCATACAGCCTTGTGGCCCTAGAGCCCTAGAGCTCTAGAGCCCCACAGCGCTGTAGCCCTGTAGCCCTGTAGCCCTATAGCCCTATTATCCTATAGCCCTATAGCCCAATAGCCCTATAGCCCTATAGCCCCATGGCCATATTACCCTATAGCCCTATAGCCCTATAGCCAAATAGCCCTTTATTCCTATAGCCCTATAGCCGTTTAGCCTTTTAGCCCTATAGCACTATAACCCTATTGCTCTGTATGCCCACAGCCCTATAGCCCTATAGCCCCGTAGCCGTATATCGTCATAGCCCTATGGTGTTATAGCTCTATAGCCCCATAGCCCTATATAATCACAGCCTTATGGCCCTATAGCCGTATAGCCTCATATTCCCATAGCCCTATAACCCTACAGCCCTACAGCCCTGCAGCCCTATGGCCCTATAGCCCTACAGCCCTCCAGCCCTATAGACCTAGAGCCCTATGGCCCTATAACCATATAGCCCCATAGGCCTATAGCCCCATAGCCCCATCGCCCCATAGCCCAGTAGTCCCATAGCCCGATAGCCTTACAACGACTTTGATTTGTTTTTCTCTGGAATCATTATGCATTGTTCTGTGGTTAATCCGAAGCTTTCAAGGCTTCATTAGAAATCACGATCGGAGGTCTGTCTTCGGCTTCCTGGAGGCTGTCCCAGGTTCGCTTCATGAGACCATATTCCCTCTGGCTCCCTCCCATCTCCTCCCGCATTTCTCGAGTAAGAGACGTTTACAGAATTCGTTTACCCCAGAATTGAGTCGTTCGTCGAATCTACGAACAAATATTCAGAACGTTTGTAGATCCACGGACATGATATGCTGCGAAGGCCTTACGGCCAGTGCCGCCGACCCTGAATGGCGACGACGACGACGAGCGCTCTCGGGGGCCTCTTGGGTAGTTTAGGGGGCCTCTTGGGAATCTCTTGGGGGCCGCTTGGAAGCCTCCGAGGGGGAGTCGTATCTGCCCCGGGACCCCCCAGGACCCCACCCCCTGGACCCCCCCGGGACCCCACCCCCGAGACCGCCCCCCCCCGGCGGGAAAGGGATCAAAGGGAAGGAGCTTCCCTTCGACTCAACTACAGCGTTGCTCAATGTCGCTGTGGCTGGCGCGCTCGAGGAGGAGAACCTGGTGAAAGTGGGGGGAACGGCGACGGGCCTAGGGGAAGGGGGGGAAGCGAGCGGCGAAGGCGACGACGACGACGACAACGACCACGACGACGACCACGACGACGACGAGTCAAACAGAACAGCCTCTTCCACACGCTGGTAGGGTCGGTGGATTTTCATTCGTAGATTCGACGAACAAATTAAGTTTGGGGTACATCAATTCTTAGGTCGATCCCCTACTCACATGTTTTCGTTTGCGAATTGAGCACACCCTGTCCCGAGACCACTGGCCGACGTCGTGGGTAGGCCCAGGACGGAGATCAAAATCGCTCCAGAGCGCTCCAGAACGCCGTCATTCTGCATCCTCCAGAACCGCTGGATCTCATCAAAAACAATTACACAAGAAAGAATCCCCAACCAGTGGATGGTTTGAAAATTAGGGATCTGGGTATTGAGATCGAGTGAGATCTATAGTGAGATCGATAGTGGGATCGAGGGTGAGGACGATAGTAAGATCGATCGTGAGACCGATAGTGCAGTCGATTCAGTGAGATCGATAGTGATATTGATCGTGAGATCGCTCGTGCGATCTGTAGTGAGACCGATTGTGACATCGATAGCGACGTCGATTGTGTGATCGATAGTGAGATCGCTAGAGATGTGGGTAATGAGATCGATGGTAAGACCGACCGACACGGAGATCGACCAGGAACCTGGCAATCCAGAAGCCCAGAAAACCCGCCGCCCACCGAAAATGGCCCAGAACAGCAACTGGGAGCCCGGAACCGGGAGCCCGGGAACGGGGCCGCCCACCGAAATGAGCCGCCAATTTTCGCCGAAGCTTTCAAGATCCTCTAGGACCCCTTCAGTGCAGGCACTGGTTACCTCTGCATAACAACGGCACAAACATAAATTTCGGACTCCTCGCGCGGATTTCTTGGATGGCGCAGGGCCCCCTTTGGCGGCGTCTCCGCCACCGCACCTGGCGCGCTCCGCGCGGCAAGGAGGGGGGGCCAGCGCCCATCCAAGAAATCCGCGCGGGTCTCCGAAAGTGTATGCTTCTGTTTCTCTCTGCTCTTCTTGAAGCGCTGGATCTCAGAGATTCCCGTTTCGTCTCGGTCCGATTTTGTCCAGGTCTTGGCACGCCTTACGACGGCGGCCTCTTGCACGTGCGCGATTCGCTCCGCCGGGCCGCAGCTCAGGTTCGCTTGCACCTATGAGGAACATCCTGGAGGCCTCGCGCGGCGCGCAGCAGCTGTATTATTACCCAGTCCGCACGTCCGCCCTGTCAGATATATGGGATGTTCGACGTGCAGTCAATCCGCCTAGTAAGGATTGGCAATGTTCCCAAGTGTACTTTTGCATCCTTGCCCCCTCGGCCCATCCTTGGCCACTTTCGTGGGCCAGCCTCGCTCGAACAACGCTCGCGTGGCCCTCCAAGGCCCTTGGCCTCCTTGCCGCGCATCCCTGTGGCACGGGTTCGACCGTAAGTCCGATGGCAGTCCGACGCACATCCGACGCCATCCGGCGTGAGCCCGACGTTGACATCCGAGGTGGACATCCGACGCGGCGTGGGTCCCAAGGCAAGTTGCCGCGCGAGGCCGGGGCTCGAGCGGAACGGTGTTCTGTGGCGATCTCGTGGGCCGCTCTCGCTGCGAGCTCGTCTCGCGGGGGCGGAACAGAGGCAGAACGGGAGAGCACGAAACCAGAACTCCAGAACCCAGAGGAGGACCAGGTACCCACAGTTCTACCCTTCCCTCATGTTCCTCTTTTGGGGCCCCCTGGGAGGCCCTCGTTGCCACCTCTGGATTCGCGTCGAAAATCTGGTCAGAACGCACCCTGGGAGAGGCCCGTGGAGTAGTGGTATCAGTAACTTTGGTTATCTATGGTCGAGGGTTTGGGCCCCCCCCAATGCTAATGCCATTGGGCCCCCCCCCGCGCGATGCCCCCCCCCCCCCGTGGGCGTGGGCGTGGCGTGGTGGCTCCCCCCCCATGTGGATGTAGTGTGGGTGTGGTGTGTTGCTGTGGGTGTGTGCGGGGTGACGCCATGGTCCTCCTCCCCCTCTCCCTCTGGTGCGGTGTGGGTGCGGCGTGTGGCTGGGATTGGCGCCATGTTGACAGCTCCAGTGTTCGACGTCGCCGCCGCCGCCGCTGGTGGTGCCGTCGTTGTCGTCGTCGTTGTCGTCGTCGTCGTCGTCGTCGTCGTCGTCGTCGTCGTCGTCATTGCCGTCGTCGTCCTCCTCCTCCTCCTCCTCCTGCTCCTCATCCCCCCCATCCCATCTGGGGGGGGGCGAGATCGATCGTGAGATCGATAGTGAGATGAATAGTGATATCGATTGTGAGATCGAGTGATATCGATAGGGAGATCGTTTCTGGTATCGATAGCGATATCCAGAGTGAGATCGACAGTGCAATCGATCGAGTGAGATCGATAGTGAGATCGATCGAGTTAGATCGATAGTGGGATCGATGGTCCCATCGATCGTGAGACCGATAACGACATCGCTTGTGATATCGATAGGGAGATCGATCGTGATATCGATGGTGAGATCGATCGTGAGACCGATAACAACATCCCCGAAAGGCTCCCAAGAGGCAGCCAAGAGGCCCCCAAGAGCCCCCCAAGAGGCCTCCAAGACCCCCCAAGAGGTCCAAAAGACGCGCCCAAACGGCCCCCGAAGCCCTTGCAACATGAACGAAATAACTTATTATTTCGTTGGTTCCCGGGGGGGGGAGAGTGATACCAAGGCGCCCAAGAGCGACGAATGACGCAAACAGCTCGACACCAAGGCTCCCAAGAGCGAGCGGCAACGCAACAATCACCACTGTTGCCCATTGCTGGCCCCCCTCCCCCCCAAACCTCCTTATCACCCGCAGGGTGGTCGTATAGGTATGTGTATATATATATATACACACATGCTTCGTGGCGGGCGCCTTTCTGGCCGTACCGCTCGGGAGACGATGTAAATGGCTGTACTAGATCTACATACATATATATATATGTATGTATGTATGTATGTATGTATGTATGTATGTATGTATGTATGTATGTATGTATGTATGTATGTATGTATGTATGTGTGTATGTATGTATGTATGTATGTATGTATGTATGTATGTATGTATGTATGTATATACATATATATATATATATATATATCACCGTCCACCGAACCACCCCAACCCAACCCGAAGGCTCCGATTTGCCCGCCTTTTCCAGTGGATGGGGCGTCGGGGAACATTGGAACAAAACAGAACCCGTACTCCCCCCAACACCCGAAATTTGGGTAGTCGAGTTGGGTTGGGGTGGTGTGGTAGGCAGTCACACACCTCCGAGGAGGATGCGTAGTACCAGTATTCGGGACGATCGACATGGGTACGGAAAGAATGGGTACAGTGCCCAACAGCAGTTCCTGCTCATTTTGAGCAGGACTCGCTGTCCGCGCCGCCGCGGCCTGTGTCCATTTGAGAGAGGAGGCCGCCTGCCCCACAGCGGCCGCTTTCGGCTTGGGACAACATTTCACGTTGGGCACTGTGCCCGCTTTTCCGTGCCCATTTCGGGCGGCCACGAGTGTGCCTTGGTGCGCCCCACCGCTCGCGCAGAGGCCGAGCCCCGCGCGAGGCTTCCTGGCTTTGATGTTTTGCCCCTCGCCGCTGCACCGCTTTGGCGGGCCGCGCCCGCTGCCGCCCGAGCCCGCTGCCCCGGGCGCACGCGCGGCGTGGCTGCGGCGGCCTCGCGCCTTGGGCGTGCCCCGGGGGGCCGCGAGGGCCTCACGCCAGAGGAGCCCAGCAGTGGCGGGGCGTCCTGGCTCGCCCATAGGCCTCCCGAAGACTGTTCTGATTGCCTTCTGTGGTCTGCACGAGATGTTCTTAGAGCATTTCTGGCTGAGACTGTCTTGTTTTGACACATCGGGTTTTAAGAGCATTGTTTTTGCTCTCGGGGCATTCTTGGGGTCCAAGAACATCTCGTGACAGGCCCATGGGGCCCATAGGAATGCCAGGACGGTCGGTCCCTGCTCAAAGGAGGAAGAGGAAGGTGCCCATATACCTCTACCATTCTCCCTCGTTTTCCCCTTTTGGGGGCCTCCTGGGAGGCCCTCGTCGCCACCGCTGCACTCGCCTCGAAGTCCTGGCCAGAGCGCGCCCTAGGAGAGGTCCGGGGAGTAACGCGGTGTGGGTACCCTCTGGCGCCCCCGAAGAAGTGCCTCTTGTGCGTTTTGTGCTGAGGTGTTCGATGTGTTGTTGCAGGTGCTCTACGCGTTCGCGTTGTCTGTTCGACGGGAGCTCGTCCTGGGTGTTCGATGGCTTTGATGTGCTGTTCTTGTCCAGTCTGAGACTTTCGAGGCTCCGGAAGGCGGTCTCTGGGCGCGCCCGTCGCTGGTGGTCTGCGGGAGGACGGAAGAGAGGGGAGGGCGCCGCGGGCGAGCGCCTCGCTCAGGAGCCCGGGCTCTTCGTGCCCGACGCGGGCCGCTTCCGCCGCGGCGAGCTGCTCGGCAGGCGCACTCCCGCCGTCGCGCGCGTCGTCGTCTCGGAGGGTCGGGAGGTCCACGGTGCTGCTGCAGTGGAGGCCCATGCCAAGAGGCACCCTGCTCGCCTGTTGAGGGGCAAGGCTGGGGGTTGATGAGCTCATGGGGGGGGGATGCATCGACCCCCAAGTGCCCATCGATCACCGATAGGGGCCCGATAGCCCACCTCGCCCACGACCTCGTGGTTTAACGATCGAGGGCCTATCGCCGACCTAGGGATGATGTATCGCCAAGTCCAGGCCGACGTTCCCCCCCCTGAGCCAGTCCACCGCCCTACAGTGGAGGCCCATGCCAAGAAGCACCCTGCTCGCCTCCAGGGTGCCCTGGGTTTCGATGGGTTTGCTGTGAGCGCGACGTTCCTACACCAGAGATCAATGGACATCCTGGGGTCTCAGGGTGGGGTTTCTTGTGAAAGGTTTCTTGTGGTTGGGCCCCTACTTAACGTTCCACGGTTTCCAAGGTATAGATGATGTGCAGTATTTCCCAATGGTCCACGGGCTGCAAAAACGAGGGCCGCTCGATACACTCGAAATCTTGGAATGTATCCTGAGCCCATCTTACCATGACATTATCGCCCCATCGTTGTCGCCGACCGCCGCCGACCGCCGCCGCCGCTGGTCGTCGTTGTCAGTCGGTCGCCGACGCGTGTCGTCGCCGTCGTCGTCGTCGTCGTCGTCGTCTCGTCGTCGTCGTCGTCGTCGTCGTCGTCGTCGTCGTCGTCGTCGTCGTCGTCCGTCGTCGAGATTGGTGTCTTCGTCACCGCCGTCACTGGCGTCCGTCGTCGTCGTCGTCGTCGTCGTTGTCGTCGTCGTCGGACATGGTCGTTGTCGCCATTTGTCGCCGTCGCCGCCGCGGATCCTCGTCGGTGTCGACATCGTTGCCAGATGTCGTCGTCGTCGTTGGGCTTGTCATCGTCTTCGTCGTCGTCCTCGGGTCGTCGTCCTTCGTCGTCGGTGTCGTCGTCGGTGTCGTTGTCGTCGTTGCCGTCGTCATCATGATCGTTGTCGCAGTCAAGCATCGACCGATGTTGTTTCTATGTCCTTTGCCGAGTGCTGGCCGAAACCTATCTTGATTACTTTAGACATCTTCTACCTGGATGTTTTTACATATTTCTCCCCACCGAACTTTACGCAGCATGTGTTCTTTTACCGTCCTGCTTGTCGAGTAAGATCGCTTTGACGAGTTTGTCGAGGTTGCTGCGGGTCTGCTCCGGTTGCGACGCACACGACCCATAAGAGGAGAAGGAGGAAGACAGAGAGGAGGAGGAGGAAGGGAGGGAGAGGAGAGGGAGGGAGAGAGAGAGAGAGAAAGATGGAGATACCATCCCGTCTTCCTCCAACCCCTCCCCCCGCCTCTTATCCCATCCCTTCACCTCCCCCGCACATGAAAATGAAGATTTTGAATATTATTCCCCTCTCTCCCCTGACCCGGTCTGGAAGCCTTCTCTGCGTTTTGCTTGTACGCTGGATTTCAATCATTGATGCCTTTTGCGTTAGTTTACCGTCCAGTCGCTTGCGGTCCTTCCACATGGTGTTGCCGCTGCAGCGTGGGCCTCATGTTCGAATCGGTGTTTTGCTCCCGTCGTTCGGAATTGCGTTCCCGCCCCAGCGCGGGCCACTTTCTGGACCCGATTTCTTTTCCATCACCGTCGCCCCCCTCATTCCCTCCCTCTGCCTTCCCCTGGTTCTCCAGCCCCTTCCACTCCAGCTGCTGCTGCTGCTGCTGCTGCTGCTGCTGCTGCTGCTGCTGCTGCTGCTGCTGCTGCTGCTGCTGCTGACGTTCGTCCCCGTCCTCCTTACTTTCCTCCTGCTCGTCCTCATTTCGTGCTCCTCGCCCTCCTTTCTCTCCTCCTTTCGTCCTCCTTACTTTCCTCATTTCTTCCTCGTCCTCCTGCTGCTGATGTTCGTCCTCGTCCTCCTTACTTTCTTCCTGCTCCTCGCCCTCCTTTCTCTCCTCCTTTCGTCCTCCCTGCCCCCCCTTGTGCGCGCCGCCCAGGGACGGGCGGGCGTGGCGCGTCCTGCTCCTCCCGAGCCCTCCTGCCTCCCCAGGGGGCCCCCCTGGGGGAGCTCCAGCGGGCACCTCCTCCCTCCCCCCCTCTCCCCTCCCCCGGCTCACCCCCCTCCCTCTCCCTCCCTCCCCTCTGACTCCCCATTCCCTCCCCTCGGACTCCCCCTCTCCTTCTCTCTGGCTCCCCTTCCCTCCCTTTCTGTTCGCGCTCCCTCCCCTCTTGCTCCCCTTCCCTCCCTCGGCCTCTCTCTTTCCCTCCCCTCTGACCCCCCCTTCCCTCTTTTTTTGTTTTTCTTCCCCTTTCCCTCCCCTCTGTCTCCTCTTCCCTCCCCCTCTCCGCTCCCCTCCCCCTCCCGAAGTCCCCCCTCCGCCTCCTCCGGCGCTGGCCTCTGGGGCGGCCGCCTCGAGCGACACGACGGCTGGAGCCTGGACTCGCCAGGGGGGGGGGGGGAAACGGGTCCTCGGAGAACCGGGCCCCCCCCCAGGTTCTTCGCCGGGGCTCTGAAGAAGGGACCCTTTTTGTTGGGGAGGGGCTCCGTGTTCCTTAGTTGCTTTACAGTGCTCCTCGGGTCTTCCTATGTTTTCCTGAGGTTGTCCATGGAACATCGGAGTTTCATATATGGGAAAAAGGGGCCTCGTTCCTTATTTATCGTTCCTTAGGTCAACGCCCCGACTGTATTCGCCGCTTTCTTCGGAAGCTCGGAGATCCGACGCCCCCCAAAAAAGTGGAGCGGCTGGATTTTGCCAGCTTTCTGCCGTCGGGGGGACTCGCCGAGCCTCGGGGCCGTGAAGCAGCGACTCATGGAGAAAAACATTGGCCCTGTGGATTTGGTTCGAATTTCTGGGGCCCACGCATCGAAACAATTGGAGCAGCTGGATATCTGTCTTTTCGCCGTGTTCGGGCTCTCGGGGCTTTTAACGGGCCCCAGGAGTGTCAGACAACGACTCAGGATGAAGCACGGATCCTGGGGGAAGGCCCCAGGGTCCAGGACCCTTTTCCCCTCAGGACCCGTTTCCCCCATGCTGATCGGACTCATAGTGGGAGGTTTCTTTCCTGGCGTCGGGTCCCTACCGTGGCGGGGCGGCGGATGACGCCCCCGCTGTCTGGGCCGAAGCTCGTCGATGGGCCTCGACGCCGGCGCCATCGAGTGATGGAGGAGAGGCATCGGGTCTCAGGGCAGAGGGCTCCGTAGGTCCCTCCGCCTTCTCCTTTCCGATGGCCTCCTCGAGGGCGAGGGCTGGGAGTCCATGTTGGCGCCCTGACTCGCTTTCAGACGTTTGACGCATGGGGGATCGGGTTCTGACGCTGCTGTCGTGTAGGACCTTGACGTGATGCGCGAGCGCCACAGCGTCTTACGACGATGCATCCTTGCATATGAATCACGCGTGCCAGCCGCCCATGAGCCGATCGCCTAGCTCTCTCTGTGTCCCCGCAAGATGTAGATGCGTCCTTTTCCTCGGCCCGCGCCAGTGGTGGCTTCGGAGACGTGTACGCCTACAAGAGAATCGCGGGCGCTGGCGCGGAGGTGGACGAGGAGCCAGCTCTTTCTCTTTCGAGGCACCTACCACCTGTTGCTCTGCCGGTGCCAGTGCTGCAAGCGCACACATGTCTGTCTCCTTGGCGAGTTTCTTCGCCGAAGTCGCACTCAGTAGTTGAGAAAGCAGCGAGTCTCGGTCAGCCAGATGGCCTCCCGAGGTGGAAGAAACCAGGCATCCGGCTGCATTATTTTTGTTCGATTCGTGGGCCCCCGAGTTCTGGACCTCTTCCCCAGGGCCAGCTGTTCTTTTGACCGTCATGACCAGCGAGCGAGGGCCCCCGAAGGCCGAAAATTGCCGCCAAGAACCAGGCGCTCCAATTCTTTTGGAGCGTTGGATCTCTGGGAACGCGCGAATAGATCAATCCGGCTTGAGACGATTCTTTTTCCAATGGCCCCTTGCACTGCACCCTGGCCTCTCGGTCCACCTCTGGCCCTTACCGTGGGCCGTGGGCTTCACGCCTTGGCTACAACCCGGGCGTGCAGACATCCTCACCATCGAGATTTTGCGACACCGCCGCGCATTCCGCGGAGGGGCGGCCCCGCAGCACGTACAGCGGCGGGTGCGTTCTCGCAGCTCGGAGTGGTACCCCCCGGCTCGGCGCGGGTCACGCTCCCGGCCCGCCCCGGCCCCGACTTGCCCCGACAGCCTGGGGCGCCGAGGTGCGCGCCGTCGGGCGGGGCCAGGGCGAGGATGGATCCGCCCCATCGCGTTCCGGGACGCTCTCGGAGCGTTGCGGAACGCTCTGAGAAGGCCGCGGCGCCCGAGAGATCTTCCAGAGCCGCCGGCTCTCAGAGATTCTAGAGCTCACCTCCCCAGATGCTGTCCTCGTCCAGGCTTCTTCTTACCAGGACGCGCCCGATGCATCCCTCAGAACCCCGCCACATCTCAGAGATTCTCGATTTATCCTCACTGGAGTGTTTGTCGCTCAGGGCACGACCTAAACGGTGTGTTGGCGATTTCGTGGAGCGTGTGCGTTTTGATTCCGTTTTGCAGGAACGGCGGGACGAAGACAGCACGAGAGGAAACGAAAACAAAACGACACCAGAAAACATTGTTCGGGTCGAGTCATTGAATCTTTTAGGAGGAAAATCCTGGAGGCCTCGCGCGGCGCGTAATAGTAGCGTGATCTAGTCCACCTCTCAGTTCCGCAAGCTATGGGTCGAGGTTCGCGCGGCGATGCTCCAGAGTTGGTCCGACGTAAATCCGACGTAGTCCGACGCAAGTTCGACGTGAATCCGACGTAAATCGGGTCTCAAGTTGCCGCGCGAGGCCTCGGGGACTTGAGACCCGATTTACATAGGATCCACGTCGGATTTACTTCGGGTTCACGTCGGACTGGACTACGTCGGATTTACATGTCGGACTAACTCCAGAGCGTCGCCGCGCGAGCGTCGACCCATAGTTCATGGAACTGACAGGTGGACTAGATCGTACTACTATTACGCGCCGCGCGAGGCCTCCAGGATTTTCCTCATGGAATCCTCGCCTGGCTTCGTCCTCGAGCACGAAGAGCCTCCCCCCCCAGTGGCACGCACCGTCGCAAACAGTCGCGCTAGCAGCAGAGGTCCAGAGCCAGGCCCCCCCCTCCCCCTCTCCCCCCTCCCGCCCAACGCCGAAACGCCGAGTAAGCAAACGCCCACCTGTTTTTTTGGGTCGAGCCCTGCGAGTCCTCGCATTAAGCAGAGGTCCAGAGCCAGAACCCCCTCCCCCTCCCCCCCTCCCGCCCAACGCCGAAACGCTGAATAAGAAAGCGCCCGCCTGTTTGTTGGGTCGAGCCCTGCGAGTCCGTCGCCATTTTGGCTCAAGCGCGACCGCTCCTGGCTCGAGCTCTCGCGCCTCGCTGTCCGGAGACCGCCCCCAGCTGCTGGTTGGCCCTCGCGGATGCTTTCGGCGGGAGGGAGGCACACGGTCCTGCTCTGGAGCGATGGCACCGCCGTGGCCTGCGGCGAGAATGTCATCAACCAGTGCTTCCTCCCGGTGCTGCCCGCGGGCCTCACCTACACGCAGGTCGCCGCTGGAGGGGAGCACACGGTCCTGCTCCGGAGCGATGGCACCGCCGTGGCCTGCGGCGAGAATGTCATCGGCTGGGGCCTCCCGGTGCTGCCCGCGGGCCTCACCTACACGCAGGTCGCCGCTGGAGGGGAGCACACGGTCCTGCTCCGGAGCGATGGCACCGCCGTGGCCTGCGGCGAGAATGTCATCGGCTGGGGCCTCCCGGTGCTGCCCGCGGGCCTCACCTACACGCAGGTCGCCGCTGGAGGGGAGCACACGGTCCTGCTCCGGAGCGATGGCACCGCCGTGGCCTGCGGCGAGACTGTCATCAACCAGTGCTTCCTCCCGGTGCTGCCCGCGGGCCTCACCTACACGCAGGTCGCCGCTGGAGGGGGGCACACGGTCCTGCTCCGGAGCGATGGCACCGCCGTGGCCTGCGGCTGGAATGCTCAGGGCCAGCGCGCCCTCCCGTCGCTGCCCGCGGGCCTCACCTACACGCAGGTCGCTGCTGGAGGGAGGCACACGGTCCTGCTCCGGAGCGATGGGTCCGCCGTGGCCTGCGGCTGGAATGCTGAGGGCCAGTGCGCCCTCCCGGCGCTGCCCGCGGGCCTCACCTACACGCAGGTCGCCGCTGGAGAGAGGCACACGGTCTTGCTCAAGAGCGATGGCTCCGCCGTGGCCTGCGGCTGGAATGATGAGGGCCAGTGCGAGCTCCCGGTGCTGCCTGTGGGCCTCACCTACATGGCCCACCTGTTGCCGGCGATGCTCCTCCAGGCTTCGCTGGACGGCGACACGATGCGCTTCATGACCTTTGGCGGGGCGGAGCGCTCCAGGTCCTGGGCCGGGCCCGGCGCTCGCCTCGCGGACATCTACGAGCAGCTGCTGGCCGACCACCGCGCGGGCAGACTGGGGCCCGGAGCCTGGCGGGTGGACGCCGTCCTGCCGGGCGGCCGGCTGCTGAGCAGCGCGGCGGCCGAGGAAATTGTCGCCGAGGCCTTTGAGCTTCCCCGTGCCACGTAGCGATACAGAGAGACATCCGATTCCGGGGCGGCGCGAGGTTGCGAAGATGGCCGCGCGTCGCAAGTCGCGCGGCGCGGGGCGCGAGGTTGGGTGGCCCAGGCGGGGCGAGGAGCCCCGCGAGATCTCCTTTCTTGCGCGCGTGGTTGTTGCCCCGCCTGCCCCTCATCCTCACGGCCGTCTTTTCCGAACCCCTCGAACTCCTCCTTCCTCCCCCTCCCCCTCCCCCTCCCCCTCCTCCCCCTCCTCCCCCTCCTCCTCCTCCTCCTCCTCCTCTTCCTCCTCCTCCTCCTCCTCCTCCTCCTCCTCCTCCTCCTCCTCCCTTGGAGGTCCAGGACTACATGGCTGGAGACCCCGCTGGGGGGCCCCCCGAGAGGTCCGCGCGCGAGGCCTCCACAGGCCCTGGGGCTGCACGCGGGACTCCAGTTCCGCTGCCGTGGCGCCCGCGGTTGCCCGTTGGGGCTGGCGGGGGGGGCTGCTCCTCCTCCCTCCCTCCTCCCTCCCTCCTCCCTCTATGAACCGCAGGCTGGGGCGAGGCACATCGTTTGGGAAAAATGGTCCGCCTCCTCCCCCCGCCCTTTCTGGGCGAGGGGGCGGAAGCGTCACAGCAGTGTCCGGCCCATCGTGCGCGGGCCTCCGCAAGCTGCCCGCAGGTCGTCCGTGTTGGCCGCGTAACGTCGGCGCGCCGCGCCTGTTGCTGCCTGCTGGTTGCCCGTGTTGGCCGCGTCAGGTTTTCGGCGCTAGACCGTGACCCGGCCAGATCGACGGCACCACCACAGCACAGAGTGACCCATGTCCCGGAGTCGGTGCGCGAATGTTCGCTGAACGGGTTTTCCTCTGGTGCTCTCGTCGCGTTTCAGGCCGCCAGTGAAACCGGCCCCTTTCAGTCGAACGGGGTCGGTTTTCGTCTTCGGTGTTTTTAGTGTAAGATGCCCGATCCATGATACGGTGGGCACCCTGGATTGACCTCCCCCCTTTAATGCTCCACCGGCGGTGCCGCGTACAGGCAAACTGCGAGGGGCGGAGGGAGTACGACCCTTCGGACACCCTTCGGGCACCACCCCTGTGTATGCCATCTTGGTGCTCCCCCGTTTCAGGTAGCCCCCCCAGGACTGTCATCAGGAACCACCTCGACGTGCGCGCGCGCCCCCCTCCCTCTCGCCCCCCCCCCGGGTGAGGACCGTTTCTAGGCCTTACCCGTGAGGACCATCATAGGCCTCACACCCCGCGCAGCTTCCATCATAGGGGCTGCGTGGGTTCCCCACCCACACCTTGTCATGATGGCGCCAATTGCCACCGGGGGGGGCCGAGGACCTCCCTGCAGCCCCTCGGCCAACGAAGACGGCTGCAGGGAGGGGTCCAACGTACCTCCACACCTTTACACCTCTTTACCTTTACATTATGGCGTCAATTGCCACCACGCGATTTTCCCCCCTTCCGCCCAACGCCGAAACGCCGAGTAAGCAAACGCCCACCCGTTTGGGTCGGGCCCTGCGAATCCTCGCCTCCCTCCCCCTCCCCCTCCCCCCCCCCGTCCCGCCCAACGCCGGAACGCCGAAGAAGCAAACGCCCACCTGTTTTTGGGGGTCGAGCCCTGCGAGGCCTCGCCGCTGGCCTCGCCCTGCGAGGTGCGCGGCGTCGGCCCGCCGCCGCGAGAGCGCCCGCTCGGGGGAGGGAGGGCCGGCGGAGGCAGCGGCTGCCCTCGCCGGAGCCCGGGCGCCCGCTCCTGCCAAGGGAAGCTAAGTTGGGCACGTCCCTTCTACAGGGGGAATCATCGAACATAGTCGAAGGACGATATGTTTTAAACTATATGTTGACTACTTTTGCATTCTTTGTTGACCGTGTGATTCGTCGCCCCCCTACAGGAGGACTGTTAAAACATACTAAGAACAAATAGTCGAAGGGCGAGGCTTTTAGCATTTGTTGGCTTTTTTGTTAGTTGTTGGACTGAATTTGTCTTGGTTGTCCAGAGCCCCCAGAGCCCCCCTGTAGGCGGACATGCCCGACCTGATCCGAAGTAGAGGCTCCTCGCAGCGTGGGCCGGACCCGCGCCTCGGAGATCGGGCTGGGATGGACCCTCCGATCAAGCAGTGGCGAAGCGTCCCGGCGTGCCTATAGGCCCACCAAGGAATTTTCCAGGAATCTCATTTGGTGGTTTGTACGACACGTTACGAGAACATGTCTGGTCGAGACTGGCTTGTTGAATGCATCGGACACGCGTTCTAATTTTTCCTGGTAGGACCACAGGAATGCTGGGACGGCCGGTCCCCGCTCAAGCCCATCGGTACGAACAAAGTGGGTACGGAAAGCGTGGGCGTGGTGCCACAGCAGTTCCTGCTCGTAATGAACAGGACTCGCTGTCCGCGCCCCCGCGGACATGTGTCCCTCTGAGACAGAAGGACCGCCCTCCCTCCTCCCTCCTCCCTCTCCCCTCCTTGGACAGCAGCTGTGGCTGGGCATCGTGCCCATGTCTTCCGTGTCCACTTGTCGGGCGTCCAGACCCTGGGAGGTGCCCAGAGGGGGGTGGATTTCAAGCGGAGCTGCCGGGCGCGCCCCGCAGGGACGTGACGGCCTGAGGGGGAGGATCTCGAGGCCGGGCGCGTCTCCCAGAGGGGCGCTGTGGCTCGGAGTGCGAGGCGTCGTGGCTCGCCTGTAGCCCTGCCAAACAGTGTTCTGAGAACCTTTTTCTGTGGTTTCCACGAAATGTTCCTCCTGTTCATCCCCTTTCTCCCCCCCGTCCCCTTCTCCTCCGCCTCTTCCTCCTCCTCCTCCTTCTGCTCCTCGACGTCTGCTGCCTCGTGAGTAGGTCCGTGGATGAGCGGTATTTGGTATCTGTTTGTTTCTTCACGAGCTGGATCAAGCGTGCCTGAGGGCTTTGGAACGACCGCGCGGCGCCCGATGCATCGTCCAGAGCCGCCCGCTCTCAGAGGTCCCCGATTTATCCAGATCCGATGTTGTCTTGGTCCTAGCTTCGTCTTAAGATGCGTTCGGCCTTCTTGGGCCCCCGGGATGTTGCGCAGGCATTTTGTTGCAGAGGAAGGTCGGCATACGCATGATGTTTTCGAGGATCACGTGGTTGTTCGAATGATCAAGGTCATACAAGTGTTTGTTCCTCTACGTGGAGTGGGATCGGGAGAGGAAGTATCCACCATCATGCCCCGACACGCCCCGACCAGCTCTCTGTGGGCCTGGCGGTAAGTGTGTACTTGCTCCCCCGCGGGTGACCTGCGTGCGCCGTACCGCGCTGGCGTCTCCCGAGGCGTCGTCGAGCCTCGACCCAGGAAGTGCGGTGCACAGCTTCTCGGCCCTCAGAGCCAGGCAGAGATGCGCCGTGCCGCGTCAGAGCGGGACATCAACGGAGTCCAGGGGCGCCGTTCTCATGTTTTTCGTCCCACGTGAGGGCCACGATGTGCACTGCTGTTCCTTGGCTCGTCCGCTCCCCGCGGTCGGTCACGAGGGTGCGGCCTTCACCCTTCGCCGAGCTCCCAAGAAGTCGGGTGCCCCGAGGAGTACGCCGTCAAGGAGGTGGACATTCGCAGGCTGTCCGAGAGGTGCGGGGCGAACCAGGAGTCCCTGGTACGGTCCAGCGGGGTGCTATGGTAACGTTATTCGCTACTCTGAGAAGGGTCACGCGATTGGCCGATACCCGTTGCTTGTCTGACATTGGTAGCGTGTCGCAGCAAAGGGAGGTGGTCTGGTGAATGCCTATTTTGCTAGTGTTGTCGCTGCGCATTCGTGCCATTCTGGTTACCGTGTGGCGCCTCGCCTGCGTAGTTGAGTCGGATCCATTTTCAGAACGTGTTCACCAGGCATCGTAACATTATGGCATCGTGTGGTCGGACTCTGCTTGTCGAAATGCAGGAACATTTCTTGGTTGACATGTTGTCGTTGTTTGTTTTCGCCATTGGTTCTGGCATCTGCCTGCATTCGATCATTGATCCTATATCCGTGCATTAGGCGGTCGCCCGTCTGCAAATGATACGTCTAAGTATCTGCGGATGTGGCTGCCGGTGTCGGTGTCTAGGCAATTGGCCGCAACAACCACCGCCATCATCACCGTCATTGTGTAACGTGTTGCCGGACTTCGTTGGGACCGTATCATGGCTATCTCGGGGTACATTGGCGGCACCGTGACCGACTGGAGAGAACTGGAACGTGCGCCGACAATTTCGCGTTCGGTAGGTTCGCGTCGTGTCGACTCGCCGCGACCCCGCCGCCGGCGTTCAAGGTTGAACGCCGCCAGTGGCCCAGAATCGGCCCAATATGGAACGACCTGGCAATCGATAAGCAGCCGATTGTTCAAGGTTGCACGATCCACGCGCTGTGAGAAACCAACGCCGGGGTCGTCACGGCACGAACCCGCCGAATGATTCCCGCGTAAGGCCGCGCGTAGATGCCCTCTTCGCAGCGTGGTGTGCCACGCTGGTGGCCCACGCAGGGCGCTCCGCCAGGTCGCTGTGTCTGCACGTGCGAGGCCAGCGCCAGGCCAGCTCTTTGTCGGCCCCAGGAACGGCAGGGCCGTGTTTTCACCGTTTCAAGACAATGTCCCTTGAAAATGGAAACGGCAAAAAAACGGCGACCGGAAACATCAAAAAAACGGCTCCAGGATTGGAACTGGAGCCAGAACAAATCAAAAAACGGCGACGGAACCGGTAACAAAAACGGCGTCGGAAATGGTCAAAAAACGGCAAAACGAAACCGGTAAAAAAACGGCCTTGTCGTTTCCGGGGCCCATTAACCCCCTGCGTGGGCCGGGCCCTGGGGGCTTTTGAGGCAGTTGTTGCCCGGGCTCTGGCAAGTTTGCTTGCGCACAGGAAATCGGGGCTTCACGCAAGTCGAGGCACCCTTGCGCGACTTTTTCGGCCGAGCTGTGCTGGAAACGGCGGCGGATGGGGGCGCGGAGGGGGGGAAGGGTGGGGTGGGGTGGGGTGATACCATGCAAGTGAATTTGCCAGAATCTAGAAAGAAGCGCGCTCTTTCTTCGAATAATACAGAGCAGCATAATTGTGAATATTCGGGTGCCTTGGATTGGCCGGCGGAACCCCCTCCCTGGGGGGCGCTAAGCTTATGTGAATGGAATTGTTTCTTCCCCTATTCTAGACACTTCGTGTAACTCCAGCCCACCCAGAAACGATGCCCAGCCGAGCTGGCTGAGTAAGACGTCATGCCCCACGATGGGGAGGATGGAGGAGGACAAGGAGGCAGAGGAGTAGGGAGAGGGGGGAGAAGAGAGAAAGAAGCAGGAGGAATAGGCGGATGAGGCAGAGGAGAAGGAGGATGAGGAAGGGGAGGAGGAGGAGGAGGAGGAGGAGGAGGAGGAGGAGGAGGAGGGCGAGCAGAACGGTCAGAGGCCTCTTGGATGTCTCTCGGAGTCTCTTCGAATTTTTCCTGAGATCTGCTTGGAGTCCTCTGGGGCGTCTCGGGGGTCTGTTGGCAGTCCCCGGGGCCTCTCGAGACGTCTTCGGTGCCTCTGGGGGGCCTTTTGGGGGTCTTTTTTTGGAGCTTCTTGGGGCATTTTGGGGGCCTCTTGGGGGCCTCTGTGTGCCTCCTGGGTGGCACTTGGGGTCCTCTTGGAACACCCTTGGGAGCCTCGGGGTCCATCTAAGGACCATCTTGGAGGAGATCGATCGAGCTCCTTAATTAGCGCCCCCCACCCCACCAGGCCCCTCCCTACAGGAGGCCAAAATGTGGCCCAAGCCATAGCGGCAGCAATGTTTGTGGGCTTCTTCACCGAGGCCATCTTGGACGCTCCAACCCCTCGCGAAACCTCCCGTCCAGGTCCAGGGAAAGAGGGTATGGGGAGGGGTAACCCATCTCCGAAGGGGAAGAGGGAAGATGGAAGCGGTTATGGGGAGGGGTAACCCCTCTCCGAGGGGTAACCCCTCTCCGAAGAGGGAAGAGGGTATGGGGAGGGGTAACCCCTCTCTGGTATGGGGATGGGTAACCCCTCTCCGAGTGGGAAACCCGCCAATCGGTTCACGCCCAGAGGGCTGGCGGGATTTCCCTGGGGCCCTCCCTCCCGGGGCCCCCCCGAGATGGACGGGGGGAGCCTCCGCGGCTGGGCCCCCCACCGCGCGAGAAGCACAGACGATCGGCAGCGGCGCTCTGGCCCTCCCGATGGCGCAGCCTAAGTTCTGCTCGCCTCAGCGGAGGAGGAGGGGGAGAATGGAGGAGAATGGAGGAGGAGGAGGAGGAGGAGGAGGAGCTCCTCCTCCTCCTCCTCCTCCTCCTCCTCCTCCTCCTCCATTCTCCTCCTCCTCCTCCTCCTCCTCCTCCTCCTCCTCCTCTCCTCCATTCTCCTCCATTCTCCCCCTCCTCCTCCTCCTCCTCCTCCCCCCTCCTCCTCCTCCTCCTCCTCCTCCTCCTCCTCCTCCTCCTCCTCCCCCTCCCCCTCCCCCTTCCTTCTCCTCCTCCTTCTCCTCCTCCTCCTCCTCCTCCTCCTCCTCCTCCACCTCCTCCTCAGCGGAAGCCCTCGGTTACTCCAATAGTGCGTGCAGCTGTTCATGGCCTCCGTGCCGCCTCTTCCGACGTGAGGGCTCTCGCGGCCATGCCGAGGGGCCCACCCCGGAGCTCCTCTGTGGGCCATCCTTGCTGCACCCCCCCCTGGCATCCTCGCGTGGTGGACACAATCGTGGAGGATGGTTTCTGGCACTTCTCGGGCTCCGAGGGCCCTCGCTTCAGGGGCAACGTTCGGGGTGGATAGGCTCAGGCTCAGGGGGGGGGGGGGGGAACGCATCGACCCCCAGTCCCCCCCTGATTGCCGGTATGGGGCGCACACCCCACCCGGGAGCGTACGGTTTCGCCATCGATGCCCCGTCGCCGATCCATGGGCGATGTACCGCCGGTTCCAGGTCGACGCTCCTCCCCGCCCTCTTGCCCTCCGTCCTCCCCACCTCCGCCTCCTTCAGAGCGTGAATTACCTACCCCGCTCTTGCTTCCAGGCAAGTCCAAGTCATACCACGCGCCTCCTCGTCAAGCGGCCTGACCAGTACAGGCCGTAGTTTGGCATCGCTTGGTATCTCTTGGAAGCAAGGGTGGTCAAAAGCGAGGTAGGTTTGTTTGCCCCCTACTCCTTCCCACCTCGTCCTCGTGACCCGTGAAGGTTTGCGGTCGCGGGCTCACCGTCCCAGCAGCCCTCCCCCAAGGGGCAGAGGAGGGCTGCTGCTTGGCGGGCCGACGGCGGTTGGGCGTTCCCGGGGGGAGGAGAGCGGGGAGCGACGAGGGGAAGCAGGTCTTAAGGCACTGGTCCCGGTCGGAGGGGGGCCGGGGAGAGCAGGGGAGTGGAGATGATGAGGTGCCGTGCAGCGGGGCAAGCGCCGATTCCAACGGCATGTCTGGACGTCTTGACTGACGGTTGCCCCGTGACATCACATTAGAATTTCGGTACTGCGCATGTTGTGGCACGGCGTTGTCTGCTGTGGGAACGGTTGGCATTGTCGTCAGAGGTATCAGCGCCTAGACCCTGGCTTGTGCCCCATCAGCCCATCCTTGGGCATGGTCTCATCCCGTTCATGTCTTGTTTCCTCTCTCCTATGATGGGCAGGTGGATTGCCCGGCTGGAGTTTGAAGTGCGGAATCAGCTCAAGCTCCGAGGGTAGCTCCCCCGCCCTTCGCACAGCTCCGCATTCCTCTTTTCTTGAGCCTGGTTGGGATTGTACACGACGATGCGAGTGCGCATTCAGACCAGATGAAGTTGCATTGTGTATCCGACAGACCAGGAGGAGAAGGAAGGCGTAATTCGACAGCTCTCGAGAAGCTAGAGTTGTAGGAAGGGACTCTGCACCTCGTCCTCATTCCCCCCCCTCTCTCTCCCTCCCTCCATCCGGCCCAGCAGGTCCACCCCCTTCTAAGCCCCTCCTGTTTCCCCTCATCACGCTCCCCTTTCACCTCATCCACCTCATCCTCCTAATCCATCTCAGCCCCCCCATCCATCTCATCCCTCTCTCCCCTCCGCCCCTAACCCTCATCCACCTCGTCCCCCTCCTGGGACTACTCCCCATCCGCTCCTCTCCTGCAGCCTCCCCTCCTGGGACCCTACTCCCCTTTCACCTCCTCTGCCTCCTCGTCTACCAGTCAAGCTGCACCTTGGTATCTTCCAAGAGGCCATGGCCTCCTCCACCTGGTCTCGGCCATGCCTGCGCGATCGTTCGCAATGGCGCTTCGTTCGTCCCCCCCCCGCAGCTAGACCTCCAGGAGCCAGGCCCGAACGTCTTCAGAATTGTTTGCCCCTTCAGGAGCCTCTTTTCCCGTTTCCCCATCCCCTCCTCTTCTTTCAGTTTTTTTGTTCGTTGGGGGCCATCCTGACCCTCATTCCTCTCATGCCCCCCTTCGCTCCTCCTCCTCTCCTCTTCGTTCCGCCTACGCAGTGCAGTCTCGAGGCCTCGTCTTTCTCCTCGTGCACCTCCTCCTCATGCACCTTCTTCTCCCCTCCTCCTCCCCTCCTCCTCCTCGTCCTCCTCCTCCTCCTCCTCCTCCTCCCCCTCCTCCTCCTCCTCCTCCCCCTCCTCCTCCTCCTCCTCCTCCTCCTCCTCCTCCTCCCCCTCCTCCTCCTCCTCCTCCTCCTCCTCCTCCTCCTCCTCCTCCTCCTCCTCACCTCCTCCTCCTCCTCCTCCTCCCTCCTCCTCCTCCTCCTCCTCCTCCTCTCCTCCTCCTCCTCCTCCTCCCCTCCTCCCCTCCCCCTCCTCCTCCTCCTCCTCCTCCCTCCTCCTCCTCCTCCTCCTCCTCCTCCTCCTCCTTCCCCTCCTCCTCCTCCTCCTCCTCCTCCTCCTCCTCCTTTCCCCTCCTCCTCCTCCTCCTTCCCCTCCTCCTCCTCCTCCTCCTCCTCCTCCTCCTCCTCCTCCTCCACCACGCTGCGCCGATGCAGCCTCGAGGGGTCCGAGCGCCTTTTTTTGTCACCGCCGGGCCAGCCCCGGATTCGGCAGAAGCGCGCCAGGGCGCGCCGCCGTTGCCCGAAGAGGGGCAGGGGTGGGTCGGGCCGGACGAAAGGGGGGGATTGGGGAAGGGGGGGTTACGAAATTTGTTGCATGCAGCTGGTTTCGGCCTCACCGAGGGGCCCATTCCTCGATACATAGCCGCCTTCGGCGCCGGGAGGCGCTGGGAAAATCAGCTACGTGAGCTGATTCTCAAACCCCCCCTTTGCTGTCCCCCCCTTTCGCCCGACCCGGGTAGGGTGGGGGCGGCTGGATGGCGCCGGACAGGGGGGACGGCGAACGGGCCCAGACCTCCGACGTTGGAGGGCCAAGCCGACCTGCTTCTAGAAGACCAACATCTGGGGCCGATGCCCAATACCGCTCTCACGTCCTAGCCAAAAAAGCGTCTATGAGCACGTTGGGTGCCGTGACGTCTTTAGACACTTTCGGGGTGGATGCGTCGATGGACAACGTGGCCGCTGCGTTCGGCGCGGTGCAAGGTCGGAGAAGGGATAGATCCGTCTACGGTGTGTTTCTGCTCTAGAGCAGGTCCCACATGGTACTCCAAATCCGATGCCGCAGTGTTGCCCCAACGCGGCGCCCCAGATGTTCGAGGGGCCTGGCGGAGCCTCTCGGAGGCAGTTTTGAAGCGTGTTGGGGGCTGCCCTGGGGCTGGCCTCTTTTGGGCATCTAGGGTTAAGTAGGGCATGTCCCTCCACAGGAGGAATATTCAAAAATACTCAAACGTTCTCTGGGGACGCTTTTTCGACTATTCCAGGCTCTGTTTAAATTTGTTGGACTCTGTTGCATCTTTCTTCCAGAATCCGCCTGTAGGAGGACATGCTCGACCTAAATCAAGGGGGTCTAGTGCGGTTCATTGGGGGCCGCTTGGGGCCTCTTCTCGGGGCCTTTGGGAGGCCTCCTGGTCCAAAAAGATAGGGTTGTCGGTTCGTGTTCTCCCTCCTCGCCTCTCTTTGGGCCTTTTTGGGGCGATCTTTGGCCGTGTTGGGTCCCTCTCTTGGCCGTCTTGGAACCCTCTTGGGCCGTCCTGGGGCCCTCGTAGGGGCCTCTTGGGCAGCTTGGGGGCGGTCTACGGGGCCTCTTGAGCCGTCTTGGAGCGTCGGAAGCTCGAGAAGACGATAACCCCAGAAACAAGAAAACATTCAGGAAAACCATGAATGGTTGCCTCTCGGGGCCCTCTTGGGAAGACTCTTGAGGCGTCGGGAAGGCGTCTTGGGGGCGTCTTGGAGCCATCGTAGGCGTCTTGGGCCAATCATTCCACGATTCGGGGCCGTCTTGGAACGTCGTGGAGGCCACGGAAGGCGGATTTGGAAGCCCCGGAGTCTCCAGGTGTGCGCCAGGGATCCTGGATATTTCCCTCCTTACACCTGATTTTGGATCACGGGGATGGGGAAGGGGGGGGGAGCCAGCCAGTCATTTCACGCGCCTTTTCCATCACTGGCAAGCGGAGGTCGGCGGATGCACCCCAGAATGTATTGTGTCGTCGAACCGACGTAAAAAAGATCAGAACGTCAGCAGATCTACGAACATAATGTTTATGGTGGAATCGTCAGTCACATTAATTTCGAGGTAAATCAAGTTTGTAAGCGATCCCGAGTCGTGTTCTGATGGCTCCCAGGCCTGTTGCCCTGCAACGGCTCCTAAGAGGCCGAGAAGGGTCGAACACCTCGCGCCGCTCATCTTGCCTCGGCGCGATGATGTCACGGGCTCGCGGGAGACGGGCCTGAATCGAGGAAGCGCAATCATGGATTCGTGCGCGTGGATCAGCGGCCAGTCGCGGCTGCAGACGGAGTCGGCGCGCTCCGTCACCAAACCTGGCGGCATTGGCTCCTTGTTGCGGGCGTGCTTTCCCCGATCCGTGGATCACTCACCCGTGCCTCAGAGAGGCAAGCGGGGAGCAGGTCGGTCGGGGCTAACTAGGACGGGGATAGATCCGCTCCAGAGCGTGCCGGGAGCGCTCTGCGGAGCATGCCGGAGCGCTCCGAGAAGGCCGCGGCGCCCGAGGCAGCCTCCGGAGCCGCCGGCTCTCGGAGCCTCTTGACGTGTCCCCGCCCGAAGTGAGCCTCGTCCTGGCTTCGTCCCAGCGAGGGAGCTTCTCGACTTGTCCCCGCCCGAAGTGGTCCTCGTCCTGGCCTCGTCCTGGAGAGAGAGGCAGGCGGGGAGCGGGAGCCCGCGGGGGACGGGCCTATAGAGAGCGCCCGGCGTGCGGCCCCGCCCCCGAGCGCCTGATTAGGCGGAGAGCGGTGGGGCCCGCTTTTGGAGCAGCGCGGGCTCGATCGCAGGAGCACCTCTAAAACGACGCGAAGATCGGGACAAAGTCGGATCGGGATAACTCGAAATCTCTGAGAATCGGCGGGTTTGGAGGATGTATTGGGCGCCGCGGCCGCTCCAGAGCGTTCCGGAACGCTCTGAGAGCGCTCCGGAACGCTCTGGAGCGATTTATCCCGATCCTAGCCCTGTTTTAACCTCGCACGATGGCAGGGGCGGACAGAGCTCCCAACAGTGATACGTCGAGTAGTGAATTGTCCGTTTTCGGTTCTCGAGAGGGCGCCGCGGCCGTTTTTTTCCAGGCTTGCGCCCGCCAGGTTTGGGCCTCAGGTCGTTTTCACTAAACCACGTTTTACTGAAGGGAGGTCTGTCCATCCCCGAGCGATCGCAGGGGTCGGCAAGAGCTCGAGCCCAGCAGTTGTCACCGAGGACGTGCCGGTGCTCGCAGGATGCTTGCCCGCAAGCGTCCAGAGAGCATATGTTTGCCTCGACGTGTTGTGTCGTAGGTCCCCCGCGGCGGATCGGATCTGGGCTATCTGCGAGTAGTTATTCTGCGAGTCGTGGAACGCGCTTGTCTAAACTGGGCGTTTCGAAATGGCGGAGGGGGGCGGTGAATGGGCGGGGCAGCGAGGCTGCATAGAAGAGGCTCTTTACAGGGCCCCTGATGGTGCCCTGTAGCGCCTCAGAGGGGGCCTTTAGGGTCCGAGAAGTGCACCTTTCTCCCCTCGCAATTCATCGCCTCCCCATTCAGCGGCGCCCGAAACATCTCGAACGCAATACTTGCCAAGGTTGAGGCGGGGGGAGTGGAGGGGGGGATTCGGCTGTCTAATTCGGGCGTTGTTCAAGAGCTGACCTTCTGGCCCGCCCACCCTGCGTATCGCGGCAGCCAGAGCCCCAGGTCCACCGAGAATCCCTCGAGACCCCCGCATCGCGCCGACCCGCCCACCATGTATACCGCGGCCGGCAGATCCCCAGGTCCACCGAGAATCCCCCGGGACGCCCACCTCGCCCTTGCGACGAACACGACATAATCGAACGGAATTGAGCATAAGACCTCACCTCATGGCATAGCATAACGTAGCACAGTATACTACAACATAGCACAAGTGATCATACTATTCCATACCGAAGCCTAACATACCATAGCATAACACAGCATCATATTCCATGCAATTGCACTGTATGACAACGCATGTCATTACACTGCGCGATAGCACATGTTACGTATGAAATGCCATATCATGACGGGCTAGTATATGATGACACATCATACCACAATATGCCAGCACATACCATACCACAGCATAGCAGCACATGCAATAGGAGAGCGGAACACGTTGAACGTAGCATGCCACCACACATCATGGCATAACATACCATACCATACCACATCATCCCCCAACATGAAATGCCATGAAAGCAGAGGGAAGCCCCAATCATAATTTGTTCAGGGCTATAGGGCTCTGGGGCTATAGGGCTATAGGGCCATGGGGCTATAGATCTATAGGGCTATAGGGCTATAGAGCTATAGGGCTGTAGGGCTATAGGGCTATGAGGCGATGGGGCTATGGGGCTATGGGGTTATAGGGCTCTAGGTCTATAGGGCTATGGGGTTATAGGGCTATAGGGCTGTAGGACCATAGAGCTATGGGGCTAAGGGGGCTATAGGGCCATAGGGCTATAGGCCTATAGAGCTACAGGGCTATAGGGCGATGGGACTACAGTGATATAGGGCTATGGGGCTATAAGGCTATAGGGCACCCGGGCGCCCAGGCACCTGGGCACCCAGGCGTGCCGCTGAAATCGGCGCAGCACCTCACCTAACCATATGAATCCGCTAGGACCCCTACAGGGGCACGCTCTGATTGGGTAATGACAACATAACATACCATACCACGGCATCACAGAACCGCATTCCATATAATGACAACGTGTTGCCATGACAGAGCGGCACACCATAGTATCGGGACGCATAGCATAGCATTGTTTGATGCCATACAGGAAGATAGCATGCCATCACATATCATGATATACTATATAATCGCATAACGGTATAAAGAGAGCATTCATTTACAGAGCAAAGCGTACATAACCGTACATTACACCAGACCATACCACACCAGCACAGAGCGACACATAACATACCGTGATATGGCATATCACAGTACAACCATCCCATGTCAGAAACACGCATAGCCGAACACAGGATCACAACGCATAACATTGTAACGCATGGCATACCATATCATGACGCAGCGCGGCATACCATATCATATCATTGGCTAGCAACGCATAGCATCGCATACCACATGACACCAGTCCATGCCATTACGGCGCAGGGTATGGCAGAACGCAGCATCGAGCATAAGGAACCATACCAACACATATTATGGCATAACGGATCATATAAGAGTACACATAACAAAGCATTTTGAACATACCGAAAGTATAATTCTTCACGCTTCGCGTATCCCCACCAGCCCATCTCGCATGCCGACAGTCGTGTTTTTCAGGCGTGTTTCCGCCTGCCCCCGCATATCTCCGGGCCTCTCGTCCTGGTGTGAGTCGTTCGGGCCCTTCTTCCTGGTGTGAGTCGTTCGGGCTCTTCGTCGTGGTTTGAGTCGTTCGGGCTCTTCGTCCTGGCGTGAGTCGTTCGGGCTTCTCGTGGTGTGAGTTGTTCGGGCCCTTCGTCCTGGTGTGAGTCGTTCGGGCTCCTCCTCCTGGTGTGACTCGTTCGGGCTCTGGCGACCTCCTCGGAAGCGCAAATGAGCGCTGCCCCCTGAGAAGGACAAAATGAGCCCAAAACCTTAGTAAAATCAATGATTTTGCTATGAAGGAAGAGGAGCGCGGCCCCCTCAGAAGGCCCAAATGGGGCCGAAACCGTAGTAAAATCAATGATTTTGCCTTCAAAGAAGAGGAGAGGGTTTTTTCTCGTTCCCCCCGTCGGGGGCAGAATCCTTGTGAGGGGTGTCATTTTTTAGCCCTCCCAGGAGTCGAAATTGACCCCCCTGACGACCCGCGGGACCCCCTCTCCAGGCCCAGGGGGAGGGGGTAGGGGGAGGGGTAAACCCCTCCCCGAAGGGGAAGAAGGGGGGTTGAGGACAGAGCGGGCTCTCTAAACCACTCACGCCCAAAGGGCTGGTGGGATTTTATGGTTGCCGCGACGGCAACGCTTGTATTGTACCACGGCAGAGCTTATTTAATACAGAGAAGCGGTCGTGACCTAACATACCATAGCATCAACCAGCGAACAGGGCACAACGTAGCCAGCAAATCATAACATACTTGCTTCATCCCCAGGCCGGAAGTTTTTTCTCTTGGACTAAGAATATGAGAACGTCAATGGATCCAATTGGATCCCTCTTCGGGTGTGGGACAGTTTCGTGGATCCAATTTCTGTGCTGCGCGGATCCACCTTCCTGTGTGCGGAAAAAAACGATGGATCCATTTATTTCCTTTATTTCCTGAGAATAAATATATAATAGTAATTAACATCCGGGACCCAGGGGAAATTAGATCCGCGGAGCACCGCAAGTGAAGCATCATGCTATCCACGGAGCTGTGGATGTGCAGACCAATGCTATGATTATACGGGGGAGGGGGGCCTTCCCAGGATGAAGAGGGGAAGGATGAGGGAAGAGGCAAGAGGAGGTGGGAGGAGAACAGAGGAGACGCAGGGGGGGAGAGAGGAGGATTAATCAGGGAAGAGAAGGGGGAGGGGGAAGGAAGAAGAGAAGGAGGAGGAGAAGGAGGATGAGGGAGGAGGGAGGAGAGTGGAGGGAGGCGGACGGACGAAGGAGGAAGGAGGAGGAAGGAGGAGGTGGGAGGAGGAGGAGGGGGGAAGTGGGAGGAGGAGGAGAGGAAGGGATGACGGAGGGCGAGGACACACAAGCAAAGTGCCCAAGTCGGAAGCTCGAGCGTCACAGCGGGCCCGGCCACCTCCTTTCACTTCTCCCATAACATGTGGTTGCTCGAGCGCCACCGCGGGCTTGGCCATTGCCCGAAAGTCCTCCCATAGCATCAGTTTGCTCGAACGCCACAGCGGGCCCGGCCAACTCCCGCATCTCCACCCATAACATATCTACCCCACCTCGAAGCGAGCGTTACATGTATCCGCTCGCCTGAACGGCGCGTCGCTTCTGACATGTGGGGCTCAAGAGGAAAATCTTTCGGCCTGCGGAAGTACACTAGCGCAACCATTACAGCAGCGACGCCGCTATACCACCATAGGCAAGAATTTAACGCACGAGGTATGCCATAACAGGGCACCTCATACTACCCCATACTGATTTGATTTTCGCGTGACTTGTCCTTCGTGAACAGAGCATACCATATATTAGCCTTGCATAACATATCATACCATAACATGTTGCCACATAGCAGCGCGTAACAGAACGCATCTCATCAGACTGAGACAGAGGTGAGCATAGCAGAACAATCTTTCTCCGAAGAGTATCACGTTCGTGAAGATGCAAATCATAACATACTCGCTCGCGCCGTTAGGCAATCAAGTGCAACGTGCGCGCCGGGGTCAAGTTTGCCACGGGAACCAACGGGCACAGCAACGACCGATTGGACGACATATCTACCGTGAAATGCGTCACGACTTCACGCCTCGCTGTCGAGAGCCGAAGGACATCATATATCGTAACATCCAAGGGCATTACCGCATGTACCAGTGTTGAATCCAGTTGCGCACATCGACGGCAATATCGAAAGAGGACTATCACGACCACGCAGAACATGGCATAACATAATATAACAACTCGACATGTATTTTTACGGATCTGGGGATACCGCCGGCCGCATCTTTGAACAGAGCATGTCGTAGCATAACCCGACAGAGCATGCCATGACACAACAGGGTGCCACATAGCAGAGCACAACATGTCACTGCAGGGTGTGGCACTTGTGAGCAGAACGTAGCACATTCAAACGGAAAAAATACCAACAGTAACGACGATGTCCTGCTCTTCCTGCTGCCGCTCGTCTTCCAATAGGCTGCAGGTTCTCTCCGGACGAGGTGTGGGGTCTCGCGCCACGCGTTTTGGGGGCTGCTTCTTTCCCAACCATCCTGTGTTGTTTGGGCTTTCAGTTTGCAGAAGGTTCGTGGCTCCACAGGGGGCTCCACCCCAGGCCCCAATGGTGCCGTTTGCATGTGTCCGCGCCGCGCCTTTCAGTCGACCGCTTGTACGTTTCGTGGCCCCATAGGGAGCCCACCTGGGGCGTCACTGGTGCCCCTCGTATGCGCCGGCGCCGCAATTTTCGGCACGCCCCTCACATGTTTCGCGGCCCCACAGGGAACTCCACCTAAGGCTCCAATGAATGGTGCCGATCTCATGCGCCCGCGCCGCCCATTCTTCTAGCCCGCTGATGTTATTACATGCTTTCGATGTTGTCACACGTTCACCCTGCAGCCCTTCCCCCGTTCACAGCCGCCAGAGACAGAATCTGGAAGTTAGGTTTGTCGTGTGAGTCCCAACCACTCCGCAAGGTTGTTCTGTTTTATGCAATCGCCGTTGTGGATGTATACGGTGCTGATGTTTCGGAATGTGATCCGCACGCGATGAAATGGACATGAGGGTCCACGGTCCGCAGTGAGCCGGGCATTGCGCAAGGAATAGTTTTTCAAGCGATTTTGAGGCAATGGTATGCGGGATGAGATTTCGCCAGGCAATTCGTCCACGTAGTTATCTTTTTCAGTGATGTATTGCATCGGGTCGATTGGGCGCTTATTCGTATGATGACCTCGCATCAAGTTATACTTGGCGAGCACCAGCGCACTGTGTCCGAGCGGGCGTCGCGCATGCGTGCACGGTCTTCTCAACCTCCTAGTCGGCCATTCTGACCAGGGCGTTGTTCCATCGTGCGCTCATCCTGTGCGCGCTGCTTGAGCTGTCATTTACAACACTACCACACTCAGTCTCTTTGCAGCAGCGGCGTGGCCAACATAAATATGGCCTGGGGGCAGGGCGCCATGCCGACTGGCAAAGTGAAGATGTTTGATCACGATAAGGGCTTCGGATTCATCTCGCCAGATGAAGGTGCATATTTCGAGGAGTTGCAGCGATGTCGGTACAGCCTAGATCGAATGCGTGATGTTGCATTGGGTGGTCATATTTGCTCACTTCGTCGGCCCACACCGAAGTCAGAATCCTTGCTGTGGCTTGCCTTTGCTACTGAACGGGTTGGGCAAGACTCGGAGCAGGAGGACAAGGGGAACCATTGGAGTGTGGGCGAGAATGAAGGTCTTCTTTTTCCTCCTCGTCCTCGTCCCCCTCATCGGGTTACTCCTCCCACTTCCTCCTCCTGCACTCCCTTTCTTCCATCTCGCCTCCCTCTCTTCTACAGTCAACCCGCAGAGTATGGATGGGCAATGTTCCAAGAGTACCCTCGCATCCTTGTCTCCTCGGTTCATCCTCGGCCACTTTCGTTGGCCAACCTCTTTCGAACAAATTGTAAAATGGCCCTCCAAGGCCCTTGCATCCATACCGCACATCCTTATGATACGGTTTGACTGTACCTCCTCCCTCTGTTATCTTCCGTATCGACACCTCCCGTCTCGTCCTCCTCGCTCCCCCGAGCCTCTTCCCCGCGAACTTGCCTGCATTCAGCTCATTCTTCTTGGTGGACGTAGTGTTGAGTCGGGCATGCCCCTCTACAGGAGGAAGATCTAAAGATAGTAAAAGATAGTCTGGAGACGATGTTTCTACCATTCTTGTTTTTTGAACATGGTTTGACTATGTTTAATGTTCCTTCCAACATCCGCATGTAGGAGTACATGTCCGACCTAAACGTAGTGATGCTTTGCAGTAGGCCAGCGTCCGGTTTGAGCGAAGTGCTGGTTTGAGGTCAGGTTTATAGATTTCAATCGCCCACGTGTTCCTTCCTCGTTGTCATTCAGTCGTGCACCACGACATGCCGCTTCTCGCCTGTTCTTGCGTCGAGTGGGCGCACTGTTGCCAGATATGCTTGGCGCCCTCGCAGGGCGTGACACATTATCAGAATGCTGTAAGCAGTTAGAGTCGTGAGGCCTATTAGAGGAAGCTTTCATCAATGCGTTATTGCATGCTCAGGGTGTAACCTTAGGTGAGGTGCCGCTGCTTGTCATAGTTATGGCGGGGCAGGTGGTGACGACGTTTTTGTGCATCGCAAGGTTTCTGGGTCAGACCGGACAGCATACCTTGAGAAGGCACACGTTTTCTTCACATTCGACATGCATAGCGATGCAACCATAGTTGATTTCAATTTCAGTGCGACATGTCTGTTGCTCACGTGTGCCATCATCCGTGCAGTATTCAGCATCATGTCGCATCTTACCGTATTGTTGGTTCAGTACAGGTTGCTGGTGTGATCATAATTCTTCAAGTGCGTTGTCAGCTGGATCTCCAGAGCTGCATCTGGGCTTCCTTCTACCTGTGCGCTCGCCACACGCCCTGGTCGTGCACAAGGCCAGACCTCAGACTGGCATGGCGTGCTTCCCTTGTGCATGCTCAGCGCCCGGGCGAGGGACAGCGTCGTACACCGCCGTCGGCGCGCACTCGCCTTCTGCGCATGATTTGCTCGTACAGTCGGGGCCCTGAAGAAGGAACCCTGTTCGTTGGGGAGGGGCTTCGTGTTCCTTGATTGTTTCGCAGTTTGCCTTAGGTTTCCTTAGGTTTTCGATATGAAATCGAAGGTTAACTTATGGAAAAAAGGGGCCTCGTTCCTGATTTAGGGTTCATTAGATCACCGCCCCGACTGTATGTGTGTGTGTGTTGATGCTGGCCTGCGGCCACGCCCGCTCCCTGGCGGCAGCCCGACTCCGCGCCGCGGAGCTGCGCGTGCGACCGGGACGCCAAAAAGTGTGTGAGTGTGCGCCTCTGTCCCGGCATCGCTCGGAAGTGTGCATTTTTTTGCTCGGCGAGGACCCTCGAGGAACATCCTGGATCATCCTGGATCATCGAGCAGACAAAGAAAACACGCACGACATCGAAGACTGCACGGGGAATGGGCGTCCGAGCGATGGCAAGTTGTGGTGCCCATGCGGCCGCTGCTGGCCTTCGGCCTCCTGGCGCCTTCTCCTGCCCTTCTGCCAGTCGTCTGGCCATGGCATCGCCGGAGCTTCTGCTGCGCCCCCCCCTCTCGCCCTCCCTGGCGTGCCGCTTCCTTGCCGGCTGGCTAACTGCTTGCCTCGTCTGCCCCCCCCCCGGTCATCCATGCCCGGATGACCGATGGTTGGCCGCGGCGCTGTTCATTCTGAGCGGCTTGAGGGCTCAGCCGTTAGACGCGCGCGCGCGTTCTCTTCTCCCACTTTGGACGCCCTGTCGCTGCGCGCGGGGCCGCGACGCCAGCCAAACAAGTGTATGTGTGTGTGGGTGTGTGCGTTCGCCAGCCGTCAACTTGGCAGCAGGGTGACTCCGTCACGTACGAGACAGAGTGGGACACCCAGAAGAACAAGTACTGCGCGTCCAAGTGCACAGGCTCGCCGTGTCCGGCTCTCCCTGCCCAGTGATTGCAATAGTCGCACATGCCCATGACCACGAAAAGTGTCGGGAGCGTCGAGAGGAGTGTGAGGACAAAGGGGGCTGGACATCGTCACTGTGGCCATGCAATCTTCCAGATATCATTGCCCCTTGTTCTTTCAATGCGTTGTCCTTCTCGTCTGCGCCCACGCCCCCGTCCATGATGTGGTAAATTCCTTTTTCCATGTTGCGCTTTTCTCAGCACTGGATAGTGTCCAACAACTGTTGAAGAA